GATGTACGGGACGGGGGCAGTGTGTTTAGGACCCTTGCTATAGTAATTTGCTACAAGCAAGTATATATATACCGTTCCCGAAGCAGTGGAGTCCAGGTGGTCGACGGACTCGGCCGCATGGCGAGGTGCGCCAGCGGCAACGCAGCAGTCCAGGCTCGGCAGCCGAGCAGCGCAGTCCTCCGACACGTGGATGGGGCAGCACCCACGGGCTCTGGTCGCTGCTGCCGGGTATAACACCATCAAAGCCACATGAATAAGCGCAGCCGGTAGCAAGTACGCGCGCCCCTGCTGGAAAATGCGCCTTGGAACTTACACCGGGTGGCATTTGTGACGTCATCGCAGAACAAAACGACAGTAATATACTGGGACAGATAAACCGCACAATGCCAAAACATTACGGCTTGCCAGCGCCAGCCACCTTTGGTCTAGTACACGACACTGGTGATTCTACTGATAGCCTAAACGGAGTTACAAGTTGATAAGTGTAGCTTGCTCGGCGAGGTGTTAGTGTTTAGAGAAAGGAACATTCAGGGGGAAAAAATGAAAGAAAATATAAGGTCTACAGTGCTGGTACCCCACCATGCCTTCCTCTCATTGTCACCAGTAAAATGCCGTTGCGGGCGCGTTGCAGTCGGCTTTTCCGATCTTGATCGCTATTGGCTGCCATTATCCAGCTACACAACATGGCGTCGTTCTCGGCGGCGTCCTCTCCTTCAGCCTTTTCCAGGTTTATGGCACATCGAATTCTCGCGCACAGAGCAGGCTGCAAAATCGCTTGCTGAACGCGAGCGCAAGATCCACGAAGAACATTTTGCGTCAAGGGGCAAACGGCGTGAGTTCAACAAATATTGACTTCACGCGAAAAACGATTATGTCGAAATTTCGAACAGACCTTGAATGACTATCTGTACAAGTGTAGCGTATAGCGTTTGAACTTGATCTAATCTGTATTTGTGCATTTGCTAATAATGTTTTTTTACTTTATTATTTTGTTATCTTACCCTCTCTGTAAGGACTCTCGCACGAGAGTTGACAGTATTGCCAAATAAATAAATAAATAAATAAATAAATAAACAAACAAATATGCAAGACCAGGATGATTGGGTCTGGTACCTATACCTTCTACACCCAAGGCGTACGATTGTACAAGCGTCCGCTTCTACAATAACGAATAATTCAGTTCACTGCCACCTAGTGGAAACTCCATTAAGGAGTTGTTTAGGAGTTGCAAAAGCAAAAAAAAAAAGTAAAGGGCGCAGGCAGAATTTTTTTATGGGGGTTAGGGTAGATCTTTAGATGCGAAGCAGCTGACGGTTGAGCTCAATCCGGTGAAACTGTACCAGAGATATCCCTACTGCGCATGCGCAAGAGCTAGCCCAAGAACTTGTGGTGGTCGTGGTTAGAAGAGGAGAAAGGCACCTAATTTCTGCAGCCCAGTCGGGAACACGGTGCAGTGCCTGAATTCGAACAGACCAAGCACTGCCAGAGCGCGCTGGCGCGTTCGGGCAACACCACCTAGACTATGTGAATAGTCTAGGTGGTGTTGGCATTTCCTGCGGCGCACACAGACGCCTCCCGCGTTCCTGCAGGACGCGGACAGCGTTTGACCGTTACGCCGATGAGCGTCCCTTGCAAAGCCACCTCCTTGCTGTGCCGGTCATAACATCGGCACAACTAGCGTGACGTATGCCGTCTGGAGAGAGGGGTATGAACGGGCATTGTGAATAGTCTAGGTGGTGGTGTTCTATATGGTAAGCCTCTCCCCCTTACACCCTCTCAGCATCACGTGATGGCGTCGAGGAACGCAGACTCGCCCGAACTCCCGCGTGGCGTGGCGACGAGCCAGCGTGGTGGGCTCCAAGGAGGAGGAATAAACATTTATTGAAACGGCATACTAAGGTTTCCGTGGGTGGAGCCCTTATTCCAGGGCCCCACTGGCCCGAGCAGCTCGCTCGGCCTGGTCCAAGATTGCCCTCTGGCTTCCCAGGTCCTGCCGGGTGAGTCGCACCTCCCACGACCTTTTAAATTCGTTTCGTGTGAGGAGGGGTGAGTTACCCTCTGCTGGTCTTTCTTGGCAAGTCCAAGTGATGTTCTGGAGTGTCGGTGGGCTCCGGGACGACTAGCAGAAACATCAGTGAATCCATGGTGTGCACTACCTACAAGGATGCGTTAACATCGGGCAAGGTGCCGTGAACGGAACTCGACCCATGCGCTGCTTCGAATGCTACTCATGGTTCCCTTTAAAGGGGAAGTGGCGTAATTTTGATCTGAAGGCAGGGGCAGGGCGTGTCATTTTGTGCTCTGCATGCCATGGCAACAAAAAAATTCAGGGGAAGGGGGGGGGGGGGGGGCACGGGCGCCTGGTGTGCCACTACACCACTGGAACGAAAGAAGAAATTCACGTACTTGGACAGCTTGACGAAGCAGATGCAGCGAGGCGCTGTGGAGGCCGTCGACGCTGCCTGAGGCCCGGGCAGCAGCTGGAACAAGACGAGCCAAAAGGCGGCGGCCTGCAGGTGTACGTGAGCATGCAAGCAGATCATCATGAGTACGCACTTTAAACCATGATGATGAGGCCTCTGCCATGGCTCGAACCCACTCATGCGGATTGACCGAGAATTGATTTTATGAATTTTTTTTAGACCACGCGAACCAAGTCTTCTTTTTTCTTTGGTTTCTGTGCGCTCCCTTCAATTGTTCTTGTCTGCAATAAAATTCTGTCTGTCTACGAAAAGAAATGTACACTGTAGAAAATCTGCCGCGATTGTAGCGGCAGTATGAAGTAAAAATGTAATGCTGAGAAAAAGCAGTGAGTGAACGGGCATATTCGCAGGACGCCAAAAGCAGATAAAAGGAACTCGACCACAAAACTCCGACAGAGACTCTTTACGGCAATTATCGCACAAGTACTAAGATAAGGGTCCAGATAAACTAAAATTTTCTTGGTGGTCCACCTTGTCCTGTCGTGACACCGGACTTGCGCTTGGCAATGTATGAGTGTGTGTGCGCGCGCACACAAACAGGCACGCGCACGCACGTAATATACATTTGCATGATTGATGCAGCGCTAAAACGCGTAGACACAAAGAACAGAGTGCAGAGGGCTCCGGCAATTTCAACCGTCTGGTGTTCTCTGATGTGAAATGACACCGCACGCTACACGAGTTTGTTGGGACGCTTGTACACGCGGCGAGGACGGCGTGAACTCCAACTCTCAACCTACATTATTCGTGGCTTTTGCTCCCCCGACCCTTGCCTTCGCCGCGTGGAGAAGGAGCTGAGTAAGCAAGGGAAGGACCGGTTAATAGAGATTGCCCTCACGTCACCTGGCCTAGTTGTTTTCTTGTTGCGGCCACCACAGGCCTCTTACACTTCGCCTCGGCCGAAATGCGACCACCGAGATCGGGAACGAACCAGCGACCATCAAGTCAGAAGCTCATGGATCCGCCATGCGGACTACGTCTTCGTGTTTAAGCCCTGCATCAGTCGTGCAAGTGTTCAAATTAGCCCAACTTTCTGTTCAAATGTAATATGCATTTGCCATGGAGTTGCATGGGGAGCCGAATTTGCTTAATTGTAAGCATTTTCCACCCTAACTGCAAATACATCACGCGGCAAAAAATGTGAAACTATTGAGTGTCGCCCCGCCGCGCTGATCTAGTGGCCAAGGTACTCGGCTGCTGACCCGCAGATCACGGGATCGAATCCCAGCTGCGGTGGCTGCATTTCCGATGGAAGCAGAAATGCTGTAGGCCCGTGTGCTCAGATTTGGGTGCACGTTAAAGAACCCCAGGTGGTCGAAATTTCTGGAGTCCTCCACTGCGGCGTCTCTGATAATCATATGGTTGTTTTGGGGCGTTAAAACCCACATATAAATCAATCAACTATTCAATGTTACGTACAACCAAATACCCGCAAGCTAAAACAAGGTTTACTGCCGGGGACTCGTAGCCGTTGGGTTTTGTACTGGTATCCTCACTTTCATCTGTTCGCCGGCTGCCCACAAGAAAAGCAGAAAGAAACACAAGGACTTGGGGTCTCCAGCACTGAAATTATGTATATAAGACACTACCGGGGACCCACAACCATTAGTTGGTTTCCCAAGCTGTTGTGTTCTTTTGTGCTCTTCTCACTTCTGTACTCTAGAACGCAAGAGATTGGGGGTCTCGCCATTGTCACTCTATGTTGACTTCCGAAATCTTTGGGCCTTCCACCATTGCCATGCTATTGATACTCGATGCACACTGTTGTGAAAGCCCGAATGGAGCAATAAGTCACTTTATCAGTGTGCCATGACTGGTACAAGACGAAATGGACGCTCAGAGCAGTACACAAGAAAGGGATGCTTTGGAAGCATTTACACTGTCACAGACAGTCTGTAGATGGCGATGTGCTGCAGATGACAGTGCTAAAGGAGCACCCGCCTTTCGATCTGCTCTCCCCCTCGAGCCGGAACTTTACTTTTCGTTGTGGGGATTCCCCTCTCCTTAGATGTCCTCTATTTTGCACAGCACCAGGAACTAATATGATTGATGCACACTACTGCACTCACTGCAACACCACGAGTGCTACATCCCAAACTCCAGTGAGTAGAAAGTATTGTGGCAGCTTTCTTCACGAGACGATTACGTTTAGAAGAAAATAAAGATGTCATGCCAGTAATAGGCAATGTCAACTGTTGATTAATATGTGGGGTTAAACGTCCTAAAACCACCATATTATTACGAGAGACGCGGCAATGTCAACTGTACTTCCTTTCAAAAGTGGAAAGGACCAACCCAAAATGTTTAACTTTAAAATATCAGAAATCACACTTCAGTGCCTTCTTTCAGGACAATGTCTGTTACCGAGACAGCTAGGTGAAAAACTACTTGCCACACTTTCTAATGCACAGCTGCTCTGCAGCCCCTGATAACATCACAGTATGCGTACAGTTTACTCTTTCGTCGTGCGCGGGCAAGGTACTCGAGCACGTACTCAACAACCACTGGCAACGGTACATGGAAGACAACAACGCGTATCCGGCGACGATGCTGGGCTTTCGGGCCCGACTGAGCACGCAGGACTCGATGCTGCTCATTCAACGAGACCTGCTCGAGTCCCCCAGCAAGACCGACTGCAGGACGATCCTGGGCCTCGACTTAAAAAGTGCCTTTGATAACGTGAAACACTCGGCGATCCTGGCACAGATCGCGAGACTCGGACTGGGCGAACGGACCTATAACTACATCCGAGCCTTCCTCTCGGACCGAGCGACGTGCCTCTGCGTCGGACACCTGCAACTAGAGGAGCGAAAGTTGGGCAGCGTCGGCACACCGCAAGGGGCCGTCATCTCCCCCTTCCTGTTCAACACAGTCATGATACCGGTGGCCGAACGCCTCGCTCGACTACCGCACGTACGGCACACGATCTACGCCGACGACATCACCCTGTGGATGACCGAAGGCACGACCGGACGCACGGAGGAATCGCTCCAAGAGGCGATCGAGCAGATCGAAGACTGTCTGCGCGGAACGGGGCTCAAATGCTCCCCGCAGAAATCGGAACTACTAATACTTCCACCACCCGGACACTGGCGCAAGTCAGCAGAAGCGGAGGCGGCCAAGATTACGCTTCGGACGGAAGACGCCACCACCATTCCGCACGTCCGAGGAATCAGAGTGCTTGGCATGCACATCGACGCCGGCAACGGGAACCACACGGCCCTCAACAGGCTTCTGACGAAGATGGGGGTGGCGACCCGCCTCGTCAAGCAAATCTCCTCCAAACGGAACGGCATGAGAGAAGCCAACGTCCTGCGACTGCTGCAGTCGTTTGTGACGAGCCACGTATCGTATGTCGGCGCTTTTCACGGATGGCTGCAGCACGAGCGGGACAAGATCAACGCAGCCATCAGGAAGGCCTACAAGTCCGCCCTGGGTCTTCTCGTAAGCACGAGCAACGACTCCCTTGCCCGACTGGGGGTCCACAACACCCTAGAAGAGGTGAGCGAGGCCCAGCGCATGTCGCAGCTCGCCCGCCTCTCAACGACCACTGCCGGCAGAGAAATCCTCCGAAGAGTCGGCCTGCGCCCACCCAGAGCCGAGTCCTATCGAGACGAGGCTCCGGAACGCACGGAGATCGGAAGAGACATCGCGAGACACCTCGTGGTCCTGCCGCTACCACGCAACATCCACCCGCAACGCAACAAAGAGCGACGGGTCGCAAGAGCGAGAGCGCTGGCAGAGACTCACGCCAGGGACTCGACGGCGGTGTACGTAGACGCCGCCAAGCATCAATACCGACCGCACACCTACGTAGCAGTGGTTGTCCGAGCCACGGACGGCAAACTGCTTAACGCCTGCAGCGTCCGAGCAACGTCTGCGGAGCAAGCGGAGGAAGCTGCCATCGCCCTGGCGCTAAACGGCACTCCCCAAGTCACCACCATCCTGAGCGACTCCCGCACGGCCATGGCCAATTTCGGCCGCGGGAGCATCGGAACCGCAGCAGCAAGCCTGCTGCCGAGAAGCAAGTCGACCACGACACATCTACGGTGGTTCCCAGGCTCACGTCGGAGCCATCCCGGGCGGAGTGGCCAACCGCAACGAAAGGGCGGACGCCGTCGCACGCGAGCTCGCGCACCGTGCGGCGCCCCCCCCCCCCCCCCCCGCCCCTCGGACGCGGAAGAAGCCGTACCCCCGGACTCGGACCAACTACTCGACTACGGCAGCATCCTTCAGTGGTACCGAGAGGGCCGCCGAACGCTTCCCGGGCCTCACCCGAGGCTGGGGCGGCGCGAGGGGGTCCTCCTGAGACAACTACAGACTGGCACGGTGCTCACGCCCGCCCTGGCCCGACACGTGTGCCCCGGACTCTACGAAAGTGCGAAGTGCAGTATCTGTGCGCGAGAAATGGCAACACTGACACATGTGCTGTGGGGATGTGACGCGTGTGCGGGGGGAGTGACCACCGACGTACTACCACCGGACATTGTGAACCACATAGCCTCGCCCGATCACGAGGCGCAGCTTAACGCCATCCAGCGGCTTGACGCGGCCCTGGCTCGGCAAAAGCGAACGGAGCAAACTCCTATAGTAGCTCGCGCTGGGCCTGCCGTCGTTGAGGTCTAAATAGACAGGAGGGTGCGGAACCCTGCGCGGTGCTCTCACCCTCCCCACGCACGACAGCCCAATAAAGTCTATTTCTCTCTCACAGTTTACTCTTTGCAAAGATATTTGCATTGCAGCTGTTCCAGTGTGCTGCAAGGATCGCCAAGAACGTATTGTTCAACGGCCATTGACAGTTCAATATCACTCAATTTTGCTTCTGCCACTTTTAGCTAGACCCAAGTTTAAGCTAGACACCAAGTTTAAGTAGCTGAAGCAAGCCTGACCTAATTTACTGCAAATGTAACAAAATTAGAAGAAAACTCTGATGTAGTGTGTATTGTGAGCTACTTTGTTTTTGACAAATAAAAATAAACAAACAAAGTAGCTAACAATACAGCACTTCTGCGAAACAGGATATTCAATAAAAGTCGGGACGGTTGCACACTCTAAAAAACACCGGTTAAATGACCCCTCAGCCTTACAAATTGAAAGCAATGATAAAATTTTCAAACTTAGAGCGGTGAAAAAGGGTAAGCATTAAATTTTAGCAGTATGTGCCATTATAAATCTCGAACGTTCTGACAAGTAACAAAAACTTGGCATCATCTTAGTGTTGCAGGTAAACACTACGTTAAACAGAGTTATTAACCAGTCCATAGCCAATGCACACACCAGTTTGTGTTTCCTTTGAAAATCTCGTGCAGGACGACAATCGGTTCTCGCAGTGTGGAAGGAACAGGCGAACAAAGTTACACAAAAGTTTCTCCAGATCAAACAAAATTTATTTCTGTTCGGCACCAAAACAAACGTTATTGTACAATTTCTATAAACAAGTAAGAAAAAAGTGCAGCCACGGGACAACCTCTGTATGTACACAATCTTCACTTGTGTCACATAATGCCAGGCAATAAATTGCACATTTACGCTCCCACACTAAATGTCACTGAACGGCCGCAGACGAATGCCAGTCACCAATTCTAGTTTCTAGAGCATCACGATTCACAATCCATGCACTGAACATACTGGGAATGTCTGGACAAGTAATGCCAAGCCAAGATGAAACACTCGCACACACTCCGTCTCGCATCATTTCTTCATGCCAGACATTCAAGCCAGTGCAGCGAACATGCAAGAAACAATGTACCAGTATGATATCCACATTTAGATGAGCTCAATGACACTTGCAACTGATGATGCAATCACACATAGCAGCCTTCAGTGTGAATAAGTTAGCCAAACGAATCGAGCAAGTGTGAGGAAAAGAATTTAATAGTGCATTTTCTTTTTTCAAAAGTAGCTAAGTGTTGCTAGTGTCTAGTGCTAACAAGTTCATTTAATTAATAACACATATTAGACTACACTCTGCCAGCGCAGTGATGCAAGGCCTTCGCGAAAACACGGCCTTGGCAGAGCAGCCCTCGATCAATCCTGGAAAAGGCTTACAAAAACATTTCATTGCAATATAGAAAACGGCACACATGCATGTATACCTGGCCTCTCTTTACACTCACAGGGCTCACCTCAGAAGGCCGTGGAGGCGAGTACATATGATCACAATAAGAATGGGTAAAAAGTTTCAACAGGAAAGACATGAAATGTATAACAGACACAGCTTTAGTGCTGCCCTCGACATAGAAAATGTTCGGTGATTACTAGTTTTAATGCTCTAAAGACCCTGCCCGATGACTGCAACACCACTGTGAGCAAAGCGTGATAGCCCCCAGGTGTGTCTGAGATAGTGAGGCTGGAATGTTCGATGAGAAAGAAGCTGTGAAGCTGCTGCCGCTGCTGTGAGACGTGTTGATGAGATGCATGGGTGGTGAGAGTCGTGCTGGGGGATCAGCTAGGTTGCACTGAGCGCGCATGTTGGCACACACACCGTGCCCATTGGGTCCCCACGGCTTGATTGCCGCACATGCACAGAGCCACGAGGTCAGACAGCCCCCGCCTCAGTAGAACTTCTTGGCCGCCGCCTCCTTGCTGCTCCTGCAAAATCGAAAGTACACGACCAGCGTTGCACCCTTGGCTGTGGACAATGTGCTGATATATTTCGACCTTGAACGGGGAGGTTGCTATACTTTACCACCAAAAGAAAATTGTCACAAACTCATTTTGAACTTGAAGGCGGAAAACTTTTGAAGTGTTTAAGCAGTGGTGGGTGTTTTCGTTTGACATACTACTTCTTGATAATAAAGTCCTGCGTGACATCTATTGTGTTGTATTTCCAAGTTTACTTTTATCTACCACCCACCCCTGCTTATGCTTATGGACACCCTGCTTATGCAGGGTGTCCATAATTATCACACACAACGATATAAAAAAATCAGAAATGTCCTTATGCAAAGCACACCGAATGCATATTGTTCTCAGTATACTGTGGTAGCTACTACTAATATTTCAACTACTGAGCGAGTACTAATTTTCAATTAGTAAATTATCCAAATTATGTTTTAACTCAACAAATACTCACTGTCACAGAACGAGCGCTAAAAAAAAAAAAAAAAGGGCGCGACGCCAAATTCTTGCGATAACGCGCGAAAGAGACGCCGCGAGGTCAAAAGAAAAAAAAAAAGAAGAAACAGAAAACAACGGCCAAGCTCCCCGGGCGCGCGCTCTCCCTGCAGAAGCACGGCTTCGCAGACGAACCTCCTCACCCCACATCGGCGGCCCAGCAAGGCCGCGATTTTTCTAGAACGAAGGAGGCGTGGTCATACCGAGTTGACTCACCCGCCGGAGAGGGCATTCCAACCGTCTCGCCCTCTTCCCAGCTTTCGCTGCGTATCGCGCCGACGAAAGGACGAGAAATTTCTGGAAGGTGGCGCGGAAGGTATTTAATCGAGCAGCCAAGATGAGAAATCAGGAGAAGACGGAAAGTTAGCGCCGGAGCGCGTAGGAATTCCGCCGTGTAGTCGGCGAAGGTTCTGCCCGTAGTGACAGAACAGGAGGAGACGGAAGTGAGCGCCAGAGTGCGTAGAGATTCCGCCGTGTAGTCGGCGAAGTTTTTGGTCCGTAGGGACGGCTCGAGCTACAGGCAAGAGCGTGGGTTTACCGCTATCGAGCGAAGACGCGGGCAACAGCTGCGTGTGTGAAGCCGACGGATTTCCGGCGAAGAAGTTTGAAGCTTGGAGAGTGGCCATTTGAGGACGCGAGGTTTCCTGGAAGAGAAACTTCGAGAGCTACGGAACGACAACCACGCTGGACTTTGAGTGAGTGATTCTTGGAAGAGTATCATTCAGACTTTTGTTCCAAGGACTTTGGACTGAATAGGTTTTCTATCTCTTTAGTCCTTAAGTGTCTTGGTTGTTCAATGCATGCGACTGCATTGTAGTGCGTATTGTTGTCTGTGTCCGTTGTTTTCAAGTGTGGCCGATTGTATTGTGTAGTACGTTGATTGATTGGTTTGATTGGGGACACATTGTATGTAACTATTGTGGAGTGTGTTTTTTTTTTGTGTATTGTTTTCGATCTGCCATTATTGAGAATATAATTTGTTTGTTTGTCAACTCTCGGCTCTGACTTGTTCTTTGGGCCACAGCCGGCGTCCGCTGGCGCGCCAAAAAGGACCACTTCTAAATTGTCCACGCTTTCGTGGTGCGGTTCGGGGGGCCGATACATCGGCTCTTGGAATTAGCCCGGCGATTGCCTCCCTAATTAACGGGACAGGTGTGACAATTAATCTGGCGTCCGCGAAACAGGACCTTTTGGTGCACAGTGTGTCCAAAGTAGTGAGAAAGAGCCTCGAGTTGTTGATAGTGCTATCGGAACGATTTTGTGTGTTGTTCAGTGTTCTCGTTAACGAGTGCAGGGGAGTGTTCCGATAGACTGACTTAGGCAGATACTTTTTGCACGTGGCAAGGTTTATTTGCGAGTTGCGAGACACAATGGATCTCGAAAAGTTAGTTGCTCTTGGTGAAAAGATGGGTCTTTCTGGCGCCGAACTACGGAAGTGGGTCACCCAGAAGGAAAAAGAAGAAAAAGAGAGAGCCAAAGAAGAAAAAGCAGCCGAGCTGGAAAAAGAGAGGTTGGCGGTCGAAAGAGCCAAAGCGGAAAAAGAAGCTGAGGTGGAGAGAGAGAGGTTGGCGGCAGAGAGGGCCAAGGAAGAAAAGGCAGCTGAGTTGGAGAGAGAAAGGCTGGCCGCTGAAAGGGCGAGAGAAGAAAGAGAAGCAAAGGAGCGACAGCTGAAAGAAGAAAGAGAAGCAAAGGAGCGACAGCTGAAAGAAGAAAGAGAGGCAAAAGAGCGACAGCTGAAGGAAGAAAGAGAGCAGCAATTGAAGTTGGAGCTGGAGAGAGAAAAGTTGGCAGCCGAAAGGGCGAGAGAAGAAAGAGAAGCGGAGATGGCTGAAAGGGAGCGGCAGCGGCAACACGAGATGGAACTCGAGCGGCTCCGTTTGCAACAGCGAAGTGAAACTCCCGTCCAAGCTAGAGTTGAAAGCAGCGAACGGGAAGATCACGGCTTCCGCTTGAACCCAAGCAAGCTGCTCGTAGCGTTTGATGAAAGGAAGGACGACCTAGACGCGTACCTCCACCGATTTGAGACGATTGCGAAGAGCCAGAATTGGCCGGAACATCAATGGGCAACTGCTTTGAGTACTTGCTTGAGTGGTGAAGCGCTCAGTGTGTACGGTAGGCTGACGCCGACCGATGCAGCCAACTATGCAAAAGTGAAAGCTGCTTTGTTGAAGCGATTTAGATTCACTGTGGAAGGATTCCGGGACAGATTTCGGACAGGAAAGCCAGCTGATGGTGAGACAGCTACGCAGTATGCCGCCCGACTTTGCCATTATTTCGACAGATGGATTGAACTTTCAGGGACAGCACAGGAGTACGATGAGCTTAGAGAGCTCCTAATTAGAGAACAATTTCTTACTAGTTGCCACCCAAGCCTGTCGCTGTATTTGAAAGAGAGGAAGGCTGAGTCACTTGAAGGAATGCTTGAATTGGCTGATCAATTCTTGGAAGCGCAAGGTGGCACTAATTTGGCCAAAATCAAGAAGGAGTGTCCCGACGATTCGAAGAAATTGGCTCCCGAAGAAAAGAAGCGTGCACCAGAGAGCATTCTGCGATGTTTTCTGTGCAACCGAGTGGGCCATCGCGCGAAAAACTGTCGAACGATCTTTACGAGCCCTACGGTTGTAAAATGTTTTAAGTGTGGTCAGACCGGGCACAAAGCAGATGCTTGTCGGAACGGAGTGAGTCAAACTCACCAGGTATCCTGCGTGCAAGCAGCACCGAAATCCGATAATAATGCCGTCATCGACGGATTCGTAGAATTGAAAAATGGGGAGAAAATTCCTATTGTTGGTGCTGTAATGTCAAACCAGCCAACCGGTGTTACGAAAGGAATGCCAACGCTGCCTGGAAAAGTTGCGGACAAAAAGATTACGGTGTTAAGAGATACCGGCAGCTCCACGGTTATCGTGCGGAGAAATTTAGTACGGGAAAGTGAGTTGACAGGCAAAACGAAACCGGTTTGCCTAATTGACCGTACGGTTCGGATGCTTCCCGAAGCCGAGATTGAGGTGGAAACCCCGTACTTCAGCGGGAAGGTTACTGCTTTATGCATGACGACCCCCCTGTATGACCTGGTCATCGGAAACATCGACGGAGCGCGAGGGCCAAGTGATCCAGAATGTTTGGGAGAAGACCCGAAGATAGAGCCCTCGCCAACACAGCGGCCGCGAGATACAGTGGAGGAAGAGCCCGTGACGGATCTCACTAGAGCCCAAGGCGAAGCCGCGGTGCAAGAGACAGCGAAGGAGAAGACGATCGTGTCGAATAAGTTCACGGGCCGAGCAACCGGACTTACGTCGGCACGACTTCAACCGACCGACATTGTAAAGGAGACGGAGTTGGCCAGCCGGGAAAAAAGTAGAGGCATGATCAAGCGGGTAAATAAACAGACAGGACCCGTCGAATGTAATGACGCGTTAACGGTGTCGGAAGAGACAACGATGGCTGAGACGACGCCTCAGATATCGTCGTTGGAAAGGGCTCGCCGAAAAAGAACGTGGAAACACAAGAAGAGATCGAGCGAGCACCGCAAAAAGGGGCGCAAGCGCTGCTCGAAGTACTCAGGATAAGTGCTGAGGTCAAAGCAGAATGTGTTTGGCAGTGTTGAGTGCCATATGTTGTGTTAATGTTGTGGTATCCTTTGTCACAAGTGTCGAAGTGTTGTGCTGTGATGTGATGTATAGTGTTGTATAATCGTTGTAAAGACCGAATCTTGTACGTTTGTATTGTTTGGAATATGTGATGAAGTGTTGTAGTCATGTACCTGAGGTAATATTTCATGTGTGTGAGATTGAATGTAATGTCCAATCGTATTGAGTGATATGTTGTGAATGTGAAGTGTCATGAGCGACTGATGGTGTTACAGTCTGTGAGAGTGTGTGGTGACTGTTCGCGCTCATCTGTGGGGTTTTGAATATTATGAGATAATATTCTTAAAGTGGGGGGCAGTGTCACAGAACGAGCGCTAAAAAAAAAAAAAGGGCGCGACGCCAAATTCTTGCGATAACGCGCGAAAGAGACGCCGCGAGGTCAAAAGAAAAAAAAAGGAAGAAAAAGAAAACAACGGCCAAGCTCCCCGGGCGCGCGCTCTCCCCGCAGAAGCACGGCTTCGCAGACGAACCTCCTCACCCCACATCGGCGGCCCAGCAAGGCCGCGATTTTTCTAGAACGAAGGAGGCGTGGTCATACCGAGTTGACTCACCCGCCGGAGAGGGCATTCCAACCGTCTCGCCCTCTTCCCAGCTTTCGCTGCGTATCGCGCCGACGAAAGGACGAGAAATTTCTGGAAGGTGGCGCGGAAGGTATTTAATCGAGCAGCCAAGATGAGAAATCAGGAGAAGACGGAAAGTTAGCGCCGGAGCGCGTAGGAATTCCGCCGTGTAGTCGGCGAAGGTTCTGCCCGTAGTGACAGAACAGGAGGAGACGGAAGTGAGCGCCAGAGTGCGTAGAGATTCCGCCGTGTAGTCGGCGAAGTTTTTGGTCCGTAGGGACGGCTCGAGCTACAGGCAAGAGCGTGGGTTTACCGCTATCGAGCGAAGACGCGGGCAACAGCTGCGCGTGTGAAGCCGACGGATTTCCGGCGAAGAAGTTTGAAGCTTGGAGAGTGGCCATTTGAGGACGCGAGGTTTCCTGGAAGAGAAACTTCGAGAGCTACGGAACGACAACCACGCTGGACTTTGAGTGAGTGATTCTCGGAAGAGTATCATTCAGACTTTTGTTCCAAGGACTTTGGACTGAATAGGTTTTCTATCTCTTTAGTCCTTAAGTGTCTTGGTTGTTCAATGCATGCGACTGCATTGTAGTGCGTATTGTTGTCTGTGTCCGTTGTTTTCAAGTGTGGCCGATTGTATTGTGTAGTACGTTGATTGATTGGTTTGATTGGGGACATATTGTATGTAACTATTGTGGAGTGTGTTTTTTTTTGTGTATTGTTTTCGATCTGCCATTATTGAGAATATAATTTGTTTGTTTGTCAACTCTCGGCTCTGACTTGTTCTTTGGGCCACAGCCGGCGTCTGCTGGCGCGCCAAAAAGGACCACTTCTAAATTGTCCACGCTTTCGTGGTGCGGTTCGGGGGGCCGATACATCGGCTCTTGGAATTAGCCCGGCGATTGCCTCCCTAATTAACGGGACAGGTGTGACACTCACCTAAACATCAAAACATCAATGAGGCATATGTAGGCATGTTCAACAGACATTTAACTGCGCTACTTCAAGCAACATACTAATTACACACTCATTTTTTTCGGTAAATAGAAAGCTCATGAAATATGAAAAATAAGATGTAACTACACTCCATCCACAAAAAGTGGGAGCATAGTCGTGACTTGCTACCTCACAGTGATTCACCGGCACCGCTTCCTGATGCGCGCTGCAGTCTAGTCGCGCGTCATTTTTCAGACTTCACGGGCTTTTTCCCTAAGCGGCATTCTCTATATGAAGCAGCACTATTAAAAAAAAGAGAGAGAAAAAAGAACTGCTCGTGGCATTATACAAAAGGCGGAGTGAACAAGCCGCTTGATGACGGCAGGTGCCTCACAACAGTGGAACGCAGAGGGTCCAGAATTTCCACGTCCTTAGAAGTTGATCAACGGTACACATAGTTAAGATGACTCACTTGTACATGAGGTATCCCAAGGTGACGCACAGTTGCAAAGTTGAGAAAATCAGGAAGTAGGTCGGGCTCAGGCAAGTCGTAGCACAGCCAGTCACGGGCAGCTTCTGCAGAACATGGTGAAACTTCACTTGATCGAAGGATCTTGGGAAAAAGTTTGTTAAAGCGATAGCTCACTGAACTGAAAAGCTATGTTGTATCTTGCTGCTGCACGCTAATGGAATTAAAGGAAACATTGGGTGTTAACCAAATGCAATCTTAACCCATTTGTTGCCATGCTTCTCATTTAAATGTACATTTATGCTTATAGAGCATCTCGTGAAGAATGAAGTAGTCCTTTGATGAACTTGTACATTGAGGATTGGGGCCCATTGTTCACTAAGTGGCAATGAAGTGAGATTTTCAAATCCCAATTTCGGCCTCCATTGCCATCGTGAACTTCAGCAGCGGCGCCATCGGGCAAGGCTAGGCAAGGCCTACAGTGTACTAACAATGCAATTTGCTTCGGTTATCTCTGTCAGTCTGCTGTTTTATTTTTTCTATTTCCTTCAGAAATGAGTGGTAGTCGACAGCAGTTTATTATAGGCATTAAGAAAAATGTTATACGAGTATGCGAAAGCGCACAGCAACCTGGCGACACAATGAGAATTGGGTGTATCGGGGATAAGCGTGCGATACTACAGGAGCCAAAAGAAGCGCGTAACATCCTGCAGCAACAGCAACAACAAAAAAAAACTTCGTTTTGTGAATGGACTGCAGCGCACCCAGAGCTGGAAACGCTACTCGCCGAATTTGTCCAGGAGCTGCGTGCAAAGTTATCAAGATAGCGCGCGACTCTCGGCTCACAAGGGCGCAATTCAAGGGCCTGCCCTTGTGGGTGCGCCAATTTATGAAGTCAAAGAGCTTAGTGCTGACACGGCATACTTCCGTGCGCCAAAAACTGCCCGAAAATTTCGATAAAAAGCTGGTCGATTATCAGCGCTTTGTCATTGAGCTTCGCGACAGCATTGCTACATGATGGGACAATTGGGCAACACTGACAAAACTCCAATCTGGTTCGATATACCGTATTTACACGATTGTAAGACGACCCTTTTTTTTCAAATTTGACAATCCAATGTTGGGGGGTCGTCTTAGAATCGAAATCGAACCATGTACCTTAGAATCGAAATCGAACCATGTATTGTCATCTCGAGTAGTTTCCCGCTCAACCCAAAGCGCATAGTTTTCCGCGTGCTTATACAAAAGCTTTTCTTTTTTTAGCATCTACTGCGCGCATTACGAGTGCCTTTATGACGAGCGCACGGCTCTTGAGGGAGCACCGGTAATCGATGGAAGAGCCGCCGTAGGGGGGTATTGGTAGTTGACGGAAGAGCTCCTCTTTGTGATACAATTTTCTAAGCGGGCGCGTCGCCGCGTGCTCCTGTCGCTTGTGTCCACGACCGGCTCTCTCGAGTCACTTCTGTCTGACATGAGTGCCGTAGGCTCGAAGAACACTCGGCGCTCGTTTACGGCAGCGTTTAAGCGGGCCGGTATTCTCCTCCTGCGCCGCGAATACAACGAGTGGATTTCGTCAGGAAGCCGCGAACTTACGCCAAGCGGGCATGTGAGGAGAGCCTCCCTGGCTACTGTGTGCGGGTGGGTCCTCTCCGCATGGGCGGCTGTCCCACGCGATGCCGTGGTGCGGTCGTTCGCGAAGTGTGGACTCACACTTGACGACGACGTGCTGTGGGACTGCAGCAGCAATGACGGCAGCAGCACCAGCGAGGACGACTCCAGTGACGATGAATAATCCTCCGCAACCACGTGAATAAATTTCCCTTGTGTAAAATGCGCGCGTTCTTTTTTTTTTTTTGAGATGCGATTTTGGGGGGGTCGTCTTACATTCGAGTCGTCTTACAATCGTGTAAATACGGTACCTTTGAATCAGACTGTGCCCGCTAAAAAATCCAAGCAAATAAAGCTCTTGACAACAAGCGAAGAGCATTCGCAATTTACAGTGATGCTCGCGTGCACAGCTGATAAAAAGAAGCAGCCCCCTTATATCATTTTTAAGAAAATAAGGGCAACCGAAAGAAGACTTTCCCAGGAATGTTATTGTGAGAGACAACGAAAAAGGGTTCATGAATGAGTCCCTCACACTTGAGTGGATTTGACTAGTGTGGAATCGGAGACCCGGTGCACTTTTTCAGTGACCAAGCATGCTAGTGCTTGACTCATTTCGTGGCCACCTCACGACCGATGTAAAGGGAGCTCTGTCCGATGGCAAGACGGACCTTGTCGTGATCCCTGGGAGAATAACATCAATACTCCAGCCACTGGATGTAGTGCTCGATAAAGCCTTCAAAGATAACGTGCACGAGCTATACAATGAGTGGATGCTGGGTGACAATCTCAAGACTCCCTCTGGCCGCCTACGACGTCTACCGCTAGCGGCTGTTAGTGCCTGGGTGTCGTCATCTCGAAAATCTCTCCCGGTAGAGATGGTGTGCTTTCACAAATGCTGCATCAACAACGCATTGAATAAAACGAAAGACAATGCCCCCTGAGACGTAAATAGTTAAAAAGAGAAGTCGTTGGACTCAAGTTCGAATGAGTCTGAGTGACAGCACTTTGTGGCCTTGTGGCATTTAACTACATAAGATTAGTGTCATAATTGATCAATTTATATGTGAGGTTTAATGTCCCAAAACCACCATATGATTATGAGAGACGCCGTAGTGGAGGGCTTTGGAAATTTCGACCACCTGGGGTTCTTTAACGTGCACCCAAATCTGAGACCACAGGCCTACAACATTTCCGCCTCCATCGGAAATGCAGGCGCCGCAGCCGGGATTCAATGCCGCGACCTGGGGGTCAGCAGCCGAGTACCTTAACCACTAGACCACTGCGGCGGGGCAATTTGTGTCGAAATAAAAAGAAACGTCACTACAGTGCAGTTGGTTGTGTCGAGTATTTATTAAGGTAGGGGTAAGGTTGATAATTTTTTAAAATTTATTTTTCGGATATTCAAAATTGGGGGTGTCAACCTGTATTCCGGTTCTTATAGCAAGCAGGCATAAGAAACTTAATCTATAATAAGTTTCCCAATACATGGTGCCGAAAGCTGGCGTGCTTCTTTGTCAGTTGGTGGTGCTGTAAGCAGCAGACGCAAAGCGAAGGCCATGCGCTCGCTTGTTCCCTTTCGTAACCGATGACAATGTACATTTAAGCTTTCTTCATGCACTGCTTGCATCCAAGGAATTTGGGCCTAATTTTTACGCAATGCTGCAAGAGAATGCCGAGAAAGAGATGTGGATGAAAATGAGATGCTATTTTCTGAAGCCCTAGTGAGAAAGGGAGCTCATTATGTCCAAGTATTTTCATTAAGAGGTCGCACAGTAATATCCTTCCCCTCTGACCTGTTGGGCAAACGAGTCGGCCCTGAAGGCAGCCAGCTTCTCCTGCACCTGGTGCAAGAGCTGCACGTGCTCCGTCGACAAGGCAGCTTGTGCTGCACCACCTCCTCCTCCGCCCTGCTGCTGCACGCTGAGCAGTGTGCCGGTCTTCTGTTGCACTTCTGCCGCCAGGGTCCTGCAAATTTCCAGTCGCACCATGTACTACTTCTCAGACTGGTTGTACCACTTCAAAGAGCACACAGGGTCCCAAACAGGTCTTTGATAATACAGCCACACACGCTTATCGCTTGATTCACACTGCGCTGCGATGTTTAAGAAGCCTCGCGACTGTCTGAGATCACTCTGTCAAGATTTCATGCCAGACTCAAATACAGTAGACTCAGTAAACGGATTATGTTAAACAGAACTGCTGCTTAAATGGAACAACTGCCTCAGACACTATAGGTTTTATTCCTGCATACTAACTCCAGGAACTTAATTCCCAGTCCTTTTAAGTTCCGTTTAATGAGTCTACTGTAGTCAAGTTCCTTTGAGAGCTTATGCAAGCAACAGTGATAACGCTGGAAGGCTCCCGTAGGGCTGACATCGTTGCTGCCAGTATTAGTGCACTGCTTTAATTGCTTGTACTTTAACGGTTCATTTTCCGGCTACGAGAGCACCCCAAATTATGAGTTTTGTATTTCGGAGTCCTGCTGAAGCCTTCTTTGTCGTCATGACCATGCGACAAAATGAGTGTTTCTCAATAAACAATTGTATCTGGCTAGTTGGTAGGGATCCATCTTGCTAGGAAGCGCAGCCACTATTACAAAGAACACACAACACAAGCGCTTAACTACAACTAAACGTTTATTGCAAACGTCAGAGTTTATAAAGGGGGTGAAAAAGAGAAAAAGAATAAAAAATGAAAGACAACAAAAAGCACACGTGCTAGTCTCGTACATTACTATCCGTTATTGTCTATCATCTCATCCAAAAAACATAGTTCTTTCCTCGTGAGCGAGATAGAGGGTGCACTAACACAATCAAAATCATTGCGTGTCATTTCAGCCGCTTCTACTATATAACGGGTTAACAAATCTCTGTCTCGATACAGCACGCATGTGTTATCGAAATAAGGCACACAACCGCACTCCTTACAGTGGATCGCCAAGTGACCATCGGTACCCTTCTGCACTTTATTGTGGTGCTCTTTTAGCCTTTCATTAAAGCATCTTTCAGTTGTTCCCACATAAACAAGACCACATGACAAGGGCACTCTGTAAACAACCGACTGTGCACACTCAACATATTTATTGCGATGCTTAATTTGGCAACCTTTCTTTTCTTTTGAAACAGGACAAGTTTGGTGACATATTCTGGACAGTTTTTCAGGAGCAGACATAACCACTCGGACGCCCACCTTATTACCAATCTTTTTAAGATTGTGTGCCACACTATGGATATAGGGGACAACAGCTGTTTTACGCTGCTGCAGAGAAGTGTTAATACGCTGCCTATTTTGTTTCTTTAGGTCCCTATGTAGTGATTCAGCGACGCTTATAACCATTCGTTGCGGGTAGCCTGCTGCCTTCAGTCGCAAAACCATTTGCTCAAAGCTCTTCATGAGGTGAAAACAAGACTTCTTCAACGAATTGAAAAGGCACATTCGTGCTACAGACCTCTTCACTACTTTTGTATGGGCAGAAGAGAAAGGCAACAATGGCTTTTTGCTCCTGGGCTCATAAAGCCAACAAACGTGGTCATCTTGAAATTGCAACGACAGATCTAAGAACTTGAGCGTATCACCATAGGGCACTTCATGTGTTAGTTTCAGAGGCTGACAAGCTGTCTCAAATACTCCAAGTGTCAAAACAGCTACACTTTGAAACTCTTTGGCATCACACTTCAAGAAAAACAAATAATCATTCGCAAACCTGAAGATCTTTAAAACCTTAGTTCTCGACAACCGCTCATCAATTAATCGAAGTGGGCCATAAAAATATCCCTAAGGACGGGTGCAATAGCCGAACCAATACAAATACCCTGTTTTTGAATATAGGTGTTCCCATTCCAATTAACGAATGTGGACGTTAAGTACAAAGCCAGTAAATCCAGAAAACCTCTCACCGACATATCACAAGTGTTCTGAAAAGGTCACTGCACCATGCTCAAGTATGCACTGCTCAACAAATTCTAGAAGCAATTCATGAGGTAAAGAATAGTACAAGTCTTTCACATCTATGGACAACGCCTTAACGACAGTTTCGGCATTCGATACCAAAAAATTCACAATCTGCTCAGAATTCTTGGTGTGAAATGGGTCATTAATTTGAAGGATATTCAGCTTTTTCTGTAGAAAAAATGCCACATTTTTTTGCCAAGAACCTTGTTCCGAAATAATTACCCAGAACGGCATTCCATCTTTGTGCGTCTTGCAACTAAAAAACATGTCTAAGCCCAGTTTATCTGTTTTTCATGATCTGTTTAGCCAAATCATGCAAAAGAAGGCTGTTGAACAAGTTTTCGCAGCTGTTCGAACAGAGAGTATTGGAGTATTTGAGACAGCTTGTTAGCCTCTGAAACTAACACATGAAGTGCCCTATGGTGATACGCTCAAGTTCCTAGATCTGTCGTTGCAATTTCAAGATGACCACATTTGTTGGCTTTATGAGCCCAGGAGCAAAAAGCCATTGTTGCCTTTCTCTTCTGCCCATACAAAAGTAGTGAAGAGGTCTGTAGCACGAATGTGCCTTTTCAATTCGTTGAAGAAGTCTTGTTTTCACCTCATGAAGAGCTTTGAGCAAATGGTTTTGCGACTGAAGGCAGCAGGCTACCCGCAACGAATGGTTATAAGCGTCGCTGAATTACTACATAGGGACCTAAAGAAACAAAATAGGCAGCGTATTAACACTTCTCTGCAGCAGCGTAAAACAGCTGTTGTCCCCTATATCCATAGTGTGGCACACAATCTTAAAAAGATTGGTAATAAGGTGGGCGTCCGAGTGGTTATGTCTGCTCCTGAAAAACTGTCCAGAATATGTCACCAAACTTGCCCTGTTTCAAAAAGAAAAGAAAGGTTGCCAAATTAAGCATCGCAATAAATATGTTGAGTGTGCACAGTCGGTTGTTTACAGAGTGCCCTTGTCATGTGGTCTTGTTTATGTGGGAACAACTGAAAGATGCATTAATGAAAGGCTAAAAGAGCACCACAATAAAGTGCAGAAGGGTACCGATGGTCACTTGGCGATCCACTGTAAGGAGTGCGGTTGTGTGCCTTATTTCGATAACACGTGCGTGCTGTATCGGGACAGAGATTTGTTAACCCGTTTGATAGTAGAAGCGGCTGAAATGACACGCGATGATTTTGATTGTGTTAGTGCACCCTGTATTTCGCTCACGAGGAAAGAACTATGTTCTTTGGATGGGGTGATAGACAATAGCGGATAGTAATGTACGGGACTGGCACGTGTGCTTTTTGTTGTCTACCATTTTTTATTCTTTTTCTCTTTTCACCCCCTTTATAAACTCTGACATTTGCAATAAACCTTTAGTTGAAGTTAAGCGCTTGTGTTGTGTGTTCTTTGTAATAGTGGCTGTGCTTCCTAGCAAGATGAGTGTTTCAACTGGTCTGTCACAAACTTACTGTGGTAGCGCAGCTTACATTCTGCTATTTAAAATTAAACAAGAGCTGTGCAAATATAGTAAAACAAAACTGTTTTTGTTGGCTAGGTTGATGAAGCACTGGCAGGGTGGCGTTTCACAGTTGTCTTATCAAGGATGAGGGTATGCAGAAGCCAAACTGTATTCATGTACATGATTTGGTGCAACCAAAATGTTGCCGACAACACTTCACACGTGAAAGACAAAGATGCTATTTCCTCCACCTCTTCACATCTTTCAACTTCTGTAGAAGCCCGACTGATGTGGCAGACAAGGGTGTGCTCCCTTTGAGTTCGGAGTTCAAAAATCTGCCTCGTAGCATCAATATGTAAGAATGTATAAAATTATGGAGGCTAAAATCTTCAGCATTCGATTTTTCGGACCTCCTGTTCTAAAATAGCAATAATTGTGCCTCCCACCTTCACTACATATATAATCTTTGTGTTGGAGCTAGCATTTACTTCAGTCAACATATTGGCAACCGTAGCAGTGCCCAAAAGACAGCTTTACCACAATATGAAAATGTGATGGGGTGAAGTACATTGAATATCTGAAGGGGCTTTTGCTAATCCAACTTTGACTGCACTACTCGTCTTAGGGAAGTTCAAATGATCAAATTCAGCTGCAAATCCAACTGAACAGCAAACACTATTAGAAAAATATTTAAAATTTCAAATATTTGCACACTCCTAAGCTAAACGCACAATGCATGGACCTTGTTAATTCAGAGTGCCACCCCCTAGATCTGCATTAGGAGGCAATCTTTCTTTCGAGCTACAAGTAAAACTGCAATCTAGCACAATGTCAGCTCCAGGCATTTGGCTGGATCTTGTTAATACAGTGCAGTCCACTTATAACAATATCGAGAAAACCTAAAAATATGATCGTTATAACCGGTGATCGTTATATCTGGACTGCCGCCAAAAAATCGTCGCCGGACGTACCTTTTGTAGCTGCAGGCTTCATTTCGCTATTTTTACCAATTAATAAATATTGTAGATAGTAGGATGTCAAAAACAAGACTTTATTTCTTACTCCGAAGAACGCATCACGGGTTCGCTGAGGAAGAGAGACTGACCGACGGCGGGGTGGGAGCAGTGGGAGGAAGAAAGCACAGCCAGAGGTACACAGCCGGAATGCCAACGAGGCCCCGCCCCGATGCCGCTTTGCTTTTCGCTTTTTTTGTTTTCTCTCTCTTTCCCGCTTTCGTTCGGCAAGCTCCGGCTTGCCGTTGTAGAAGGCGGGGAGCCGCGGAGCGCGGCGCTTTGCTTTTCGCATTTTTTTTTTAATTCTCTCAGCCTCTCCGCGGTCGACGCGCAAAACGTGACACAGCTGGCGCCATCTGTAGCGCGTCGCGCCAACTCGCGATGGTCTCCTCGGCTTTTTGAACGGCCGGGACGCGCTGCCGGCGCTGTGCTGCAGTGGCGGCAGATACGTACTCGCCTACGCTAACTTTTCGTCTTGTCTCGGCATAGTTCGTTTCAGAGGAACTTATCAATCTAAATGTTACGATTATTCTGAATGAAACATGCCGTCCGCGGCAAACTTTTCATCGTTGTATCCGATATGCGGTGGATAACATATCGTTATATATGGTTTTTTTCCCCATAGCCCTAATGCATAAAATGAGACTGTTAAGTCGACCCATCGTTATAACCGATATATCGTTATATGTGGTATCGTTATAAGTGGACTGCACTGTAACATGCAGGAAAGAAAAAGGGTATTGGCAGAATGCAGCTACTGGCACGTCTTAACGTACAAGATACTCGTCCGCAACACGTGGTTACAGTCACGTGACAACAGAGAATTGCTACAGTGGATACAGCTGTATATCCTTAGGGCATTCCGGCAATGGACACGACTTGACGTGACACAATGGTTAACTTCCCAGGTTATGAGACAACGACCAGAGTCTGCTCTGGAACATTTCGAGAGCTGTGCAAAACCAAAAAATGTTTCTTCAGAGTGATGGCTGGTACGCACGCATGTGAGCTTCATTCACGCCACTAACAGTGAGCTCCAATTTACCGTCTTTGAGATAGAACCACATACTGAACCTGACAGCGACGGAGCATTTCGCCTCCCCATTCAGTGTGGACGTAACACAATACACTAAGGCACAAAAAGATGTCACCTACTTGATCTGTTGCACAGAGAGAAGGAGCTCCCGTTGGCTGTTTAGCAGGGAATCCACCTCGTGCCTCTGCATCACACTTTGCACGTGCACAGGAGGAGCACCACCAGGCTGCTGAGGCTGCACTGCACCAGCTAGGGGGAGGGGGGGGGGGAAACAGAAGAAAGCTCCTCAGCATACTACTAGTTACTGCGAAACAAGAAGCTACATCAAATGATGAAAGGCAAATGAATAGCATGATCAGAGTTTGTCAATCGTGTAAGTTCCAAACTGGCCGTAGACTTCATAATTATCCGGACACACCATAGGCCAAAATGGAGGAGGTCGGCAGATAGTGCTAAGACAACGTGCCAAAGAAACAAATAAATGACATTTTGCAATTAAGCAGACTGCAAGTTTCAAAAAGCGAGCACTCCATTTATTTTTGCAGTTTAATTTTTCCCAATGATATGTATCGCACTCACTGAAATCATCAGCCTCTCCTGAAAGTTCTTGCTGTAGCAACATGATAGAGAAGACGGCAACAACGCAGTGCTCGTTTTCCGTCACATATCTGTTGACTATTCTCCACAAATTCATCTCCAGGTGCATGTCCAGCTTTAAGAATGAAGTTTTACAACGGGTGTGTATGAAGAGCACTAGTGCATGATCTGTCCACCTTACTTTTTCAGTCCCTCACCTATTACAGGATGAAGAGACAAGGCCTTAACAACCTTCTCAGCCAGCCCAATCGAGGTGGGCTGACTGTGAGGACATCACTTTGGACTAGAGTTGTGCAAATGGCAAAATTTTGAGTGCGAAATTTTGAGTCTTGCTCGCTCTTGGTGTGCGTGTGTAGTCAGGATGGCAGACAAGAGGACTAGCATGCTCTTTCCTGCCGCTCAACAAAACGGCTTTGCTTGAGCGTAATCCGCACGTTGGGCGCCGTGTTCCGGAGTGCTTGCTCATAGCTGTTGACCACCTGACAGCCAACTTGCCGCTTCGGGCATCCCGGTATTCAGCCGTGGAGATGGTGAACATTTCGTGGGCGGCGGTGACGGCTACTTGCGCGCGAAACTGTTTTCGCGAGGCCGACTTCGTCGACGTCGGGCCCGATGCCGAGCCCGACGCTTCGTAACAGGACCACTGCGGCGGCAGTTTGTGGCAGCGCATCGTCGACTCTGACCTGGTAGAGTGGGTGGGACATCTGTTGCGATGGTTTAATTACGGCTGATGATGATGCCGGCACTGCGGAACCGTGCACTGATTGGGGCATTGTGAATTAAGTACGTGGCGAGAGCAATTTTGAGGAATCGGATTGCGAGAACGATGAAAATTTGGAGCCAGTGCCTCATGGAGCTTATGCCACGGGCCTCGGCGAACGAGCACCCTGCCATTTCTCCATATCTCTCCAAATCCATATCTCTCCAAATCCATATCTCTCCAAATCCATATCTCTCCAAAATCAACGCGAGCGCCTTGCTCACGTTGGCTCGCTCGAGCAACCGGGCCTTTTGTCCCGATGTCACCGTGAATCACTTTTACCACGGAGACATGCTCGCGGCACCCATGTAGTACTTCTTGCCCCTGGCGTGGATAAGCCCATTTGCTTTCCTGCTGCGCCTTTGCAACGGGCTCTGTACTGCGTTTTGGTGTTGCTGCAGACAATAAAGTGTTGCGACCTTGAGCAGTACCGTGTTCTTGCCATGGCGACAGTTAACGCATGCCCTGCAATCCCCAAGTGCCCCGCTAGTGGCCATACTCCTTCGGGATACGTGTACACTACACTGGCGCCCAACGTGTAGACAAAATAGAGATAGGTTATGACTGCCAACCTCTAATCTTTCATGTCATATCTTTTTGCTAATTATATATGTGTATCCTTCAATAAAGATTCACTTGCTAGTCTGCAATTGTGTGTATGCCTTCTCCGTTTCTTGTCACTTTTTCGCCCAGTTTTGTAGTTATATTTTTTAAATACTTTGAAATGAAATTACAGAAAAAGAGGGAGAAGATCCCTAAGCATATTCTTATGAGATATGCAATATGAAAGTGTTTCTTTTGGCAAGGTTGATAAAGCATCGGCTGAGAGGTATTTGACAGTTATCCTATCAAGTCTTATCAAGATTGTGGAAATGCAGAGGCTGAATTGTATTTTTGCACGAGATTTAGTGCAACCAGAGTGTTGCCCAAATTTGAAGACCAGAACAGCATTAATGGGAGGTGCAGGTAGAAAAACTCAAGTTTTCCTAAACATTACTGATTTCTTGCTTTTACCGTATTTTCGCGCGTATAGCCCACACCAAAAACCCAAAAGTTTCAGTGGCAAAGTGGAGGTGCGAATAATACGCGTGGTTTTTTCTATAGTGCTGCTTCACAGCAATGCGTGTTGTGCTGTGAAGCCCCTTAACAGTGTAGCAAAGGCTACGGAGGCGTGACGATAGTTATAGCGCGAGAACAATACGACGACACAGAGACAAGAAGGACACGAAAGACACGAGCGCTAAATAGCGCTAGTGTCTTTCGTGTTCTTCTTGTCTCTGTGTCGTCGTATTGTTCTCGCGTGTATTTCGTGTCCTCCTTGTCTCTGCGTCGTCCCATTGTTCTGGCACTATAACTATCGTCATGCCATACAAACTAGCCCAAGCGGCCACACTACGGAGGCGGTTTCCGCAAATTCGTGTTGCTCCGCAAGTAGCACGGCAACTTGCGGCTGATTTTGGTTTCGCTTGCTTGCATCGTTGAAGCGTTTAGAAAAACATTCGGGGAGAGACAATTCAATTGTTCAGTGTAAAATCTCACTGTCACACCACAAGTATATTTTTTGGACGTTCGCGGCCGCTCAGTGACCCTCCACATGTCGCTACGTCACGGACGCCATGTTTACTTTTGGAAAGGGCTTGCCGAAAAGGTGGTGCTGTCTAAGAAAGTTCCATAATATTTTAAATAAAGCAAGTTCCATAATAAATAAAGCAGTATTTATTTCAGCAAGGCAAATGAGATGTTATACAGTCGCCGACCGATTTTTCGGACCTGGAGGGGACCGAAAAAAAGTACGAAAAATCGAACAGTCCGAAAAATTCGTTTTCGCCAAAAATCTGAAGTTTATTGCATCAGGCAGGTTTAAAAAAGTCCTTGATGCTGCCTTGCCTCAAACTACGCTTGGAGGCAATTTTGTTTGCCCGTATTTGCGCCAAGGTGACATCGTCGCCATAAACGCTCGACAAAATTGTCACCGCGTTGGCGATCTCCGCCGCCGACGGCTGCGGGCGGTCGTCGTTGTCGTCATCCGAGCCGCTCTCCGGCTCCGGGACAACCTGGCGAAGAATTTCGTCGTCAGTGGCCTTCGCGCACGAAACAATGTCGTCCGCACGAGTGAAGTCTTTAAATGTCATTGTGGCAGGTAAAGAATCCTTCTTTCGCCTCCTCCCCGTGCGATGTGATGACGATAGTGCTGACCGAAGACGAAAAAACGGCATCCATCACCGCGTCTTTTAAAAAGCAAACACGGCCTCCGAAACTTAAAACATGGCGTGCGCATTCCAATCTCGGAGGCAGGAAAAGCATCTGAAGACCAAGTTTAGCCAAGCCGACAGAAAATCCAACATGGCGGCGTTCACAATGGCTTGGGGCGTGGCACAAAACGAGCGATTTAGTCCGAAACATCGAACTTTCAGGGGCAAATTCGCCCGAAAAATCGGTCGAAACAATGCATTAGCTCTATGGGATCCCTGACGGTGCATTTATGAAGTCCGGAATATCCAACAAGTCCGAAAAATCGGTCGGCGACTGTAGTGCCTATAGAGATATTATCAGTAAATTAATGTACTACTTTTTGACGCGGTAGCAGGCATGTATTTCGGTTCTGTTGTTTCCAGGGTGCTGTTACAGGGTACTAGAAGGGGTAGTGCTGTCAAGTTGTCGCCGAGTGTGAGCGCTCTTTACCTCGCTGATACTGCTAGTTCTCCACATCTCGACCCGTTCACCAAGCCTAAGTCGATCTGTTCTGTCACCATGAGTAGCGTACGGCGGCAGGCCTTCACGGCACAGCAAAAGCTTAAGATCATCCCCGTCGCCGAGGAATTTGGAAATAGCGAAACGGGAAGACGGCACGATGTGGACGAGTCCTGCATGCGACTGTGGAGAAAGAAGAAAGAGAGCCTACAAGCCGCGCACCGCGACCGTAGGTCATTTTGTGGCCCCAAGACCGGTGCCTACCCTGAGCTGGAGGCGGAGCTAGTAAAGTTCATCGAAGATGTGAGAAGCGGGGGTCACGCCGTATCGACAGAGATGGCCCAAGTGGAAGCACGGCGACTTTTGAGGGAGCTAGGCCTACCTCACGACTTCCGTGCGAGCCGCGGATGGCTGCACCGCTTTATGAAGTGGCAAGGGCTCTCAATCAGACGGCGGGCTACAATATGTCAACGCTTGCCGGCTTCTTATGAGGAGAAGCTGCTCAAGTACCAGAGATATGTAATTGGCCTGTGAAAGCAGCACAATTACATTTTCTCGCAAATCGGCAATGCGGATGAAACTCCTGTTTATTTTGAAATGCCGTTGGACACAAGGAATGAGAAGACGGGCAGCAGTTCGGTGAGCGTGCTGACCGGCGGGAACACAAAACTGCGCATCAAAGTCTTGCTTTGTGCCCTCGCTGACGTCACGCAACTGCAATCGTACGTCATCTTGAAAAGGAAAACTCTACCAAAGGTTCATTTGCCTGCCGGTGTGGTGGTGCGCGCACACGAGAACGCGTGGATGAACAGTGACTTGTTCGTAGACTGGATCAAGACGGTATGAGAGAAAAGGACCGCTGCGATGCTCGCAAAGAGGTCCATGCTCGTTCTTGACTCGTTCCGGGGCCACACAACTGAGGATGTGAAAGACCGCCTTTCACGCAACGGCACCGACTTTGTTATACCCGGTGAAATGAAGTCATTGTTGCAGCCTCTAGATGTGTCGCTTAACAAGCCCTTCAAAGCGCATGTCAAGCGCTATTACGCTGAGTGGATGGCCAAAGGCTGCTACGACTTGACGCCGACAGGACGAGTCCGAAGGCCTGATATTGCCTTATTTTGCAAGTAGATTGTCGAGGCATGGAAGGCCATTCCAGGTGAGATGGTGCGAAAAAGTTTTCAAGAAATGCTGCATCAAAAACAACATGGATGGAACCGAAGATGACCTTGTGCATAATAGTGAGGACTGTGGCTCAAGTGATAGCTCTAGCGAGAGCAGCGACAGTGAGTGAATTGTGACTGGCCTTGCAGACAGCGTATTCTGCTTGCTAAACAAAGCTTTTTCTGTCTACATATGTGCTATGTTGCTTGAGCAGTAGCTTTTGTACAGCCTTTCCTGTATATCAAATGTGCAAGCAATACGCGAGGATTTTTTTTTTTTTCTCGGTGAGCTAAAAGTGGGGGTGCGGATTATATGCAGGGGTGGGTTATACGCGCAAAAATACGGTACTAGTTTTGATGAGATTAATACCTCTACCGTTTTGAAAAAAATAAATAAAAAATGTCGAGACTCGACTGGAAATGTTTTAAAATTGCATCTAAAGAGCACAAGGTGGCTGTTAAAACACCGAAAGTGTGCAGTCTTCGAGTATTTTGCCGCTGATAATGCGCCGCCGCTCGCCATTGTCGATCGTACGTGGCGAAGAGCCGAGCCTTACTCTTCAAATAACGACGGTTCTGGCGCGCTGTTGCAACACAAGAAATAATAAAAATAAGCATGCTTTTGCAGCATTCTTTTGAGCACCTCGACTCACTTTTAAATCACGTGGTACAGATCAGGGACTGCCACTGGCACCTGCGTGTTTTATATACTGTGAAGCCTACTTGCATGGTCCGTGTCTCGACGCGACGAGCAGCGCAGCTGAACAAAGTTTTTCTCATGTGTTTAGCTCCATTATAGATCAAGAAACCTATAGGGAGTGCAATATCCATGCTGTCAATGCGAAAGCTGTTGTGGGGGCGCGTTCTGTAGGGGTGGACTACGAGCAGCTCGCCCGATTTATGGCAATTCTTGGCTTGCAAAAACCAATGCATCGTAAGTCATGCACAGCTATCAGCCGGAAAGTCCTTGATGCGGCAATGAATGCCATCTGCACCAATCCTGTGAGGTCACGGGAGATCACAGTGAGGGAAGTTAGCGGGGACGACATTGCCGTTATGTACGAGGGTACGTGACACAAACCCGGCTACAACAGCCACAGTGGCATTGGCACTGTTGTGTCCCTTGACACTGGACTTCATTTAAATTTCGAAGTCCAGTCGCACTTCTGCCTAGCTTGCAGTTGGCACAAGGCTCTGTCTGATGGAGCACAAAAGTCTGGCAAGCATTTCTCAACCCTGTCTGTGAGCGAAATGTCTGATGAGTCAGCTCGAAAGAGAAGCGAGGGACAAACTTTTGGTGCTGGCGCATTTTAGTAGCAGTGGCCACTATAGAAACACTGGTCTTCTTTGTGTGCAAATTTCATCCTATTTAACGAAATTTTTCATTACAATTCAATTTTAACTTTAAAAGTTGTTTTTCTCAAAACCCAAATTTTCCCATTTTTTAAAAATGTTTCCCTCCTTTTTCAAGTACTTCTGGTGCTCGGATCTTCACGAAATCTTGCCCAATTTCTTTTAAAGTACGAGAAATACAATGATCTTTTTTAAATTTCAATAGTTTTGTATTATAATAAAAACATTTATGTAAGCCTCTATTACGGTAAGGGAAAATATGAACTTTTTATGTCTATTAGATATTTTGTTTGCACTTCCACATTAGTTTTCTGAATTCAATACTTTATTTGAAACATTATGAACTATCAATGGTAAAAAAAATTATTGAAGTTTATACATAGAAAAAGAAGGGGGGCAAAAGGCTTAACTTTTTCACTTTGTCATGTCGCAGAACTAATAAAATGCAACTTGCAAGAAAACTAATTAGTATATATTTTTGAAATCGACATAAAAATTTCTATAAGCAGCTCAAGTTTCAGTGCTCTATGGCGAATATTAACAAAAAAAAAAAAAAACTCGTAAAGTGGCGGTGGTCTTCGAGTAGCCTCTCCTCTTAAGTGAGCCCCCATGCTTGTCGCACCTATGATCTCCATGTTGTAACAAGAATTTTCTAGAGTCAATACGTCTGCGATTGTAGCGGAGCCTGAAAAACAGCTATGCCACAATTTGAGCATGATGGGGTGAAGCATATTGAAAATCTGAACGGGCCACCGCCAATCGGACAAAGAGGGCCTCCCTAGCGCTCGCTCAAAAGGGAGGAATCACTTGCCTGCTCCACTCTGCTGGATGCCCGACACCAGGGACAGGGTGCGCTCCTGGCGGCCAAGCATCTCGTCCAATTTGCGGTGCATCGCCTTGAGGCCCTCGAACATGTGTGCCTGACCCTCGAAGATCTGGCGCAGTTCACGCTGCTGTGGCGAGTCGTAAGGTTGTTCCGCACCGGCGCCATGCTCCATGTCGTGCTTGGCAGCTTCCTCGGGATGCTGCTTGCGGTACTCCTCCTTCTGGCGCTCAAGCTTGTCCTTGTACTGCTCGTACTCGCGCGAAAACTTCTCTTTTTCCGATTCGGCAATGGTCTGCGTGGCCACGGGCTGCTGGCCCTCGGGGAGCAGGCTTGTTGTCAGGAACTTCAGGGCATCATGGTCATCTATGAGTAAAAGATGAGGATGCAAGGAGTCAGAGAAAAGGCGACCATTCCTTAGTCCCAATCTTTGCCTGAACAACAAATACAGATACCTCGTTGAATGCTGCTCTAGACCCATACGTAAAGTAGGCCCTGCCAAACTCGAAATCATAAAAACTTGAGTAGCCTATAACGCAATAAAATTTTGTCTAACTATTGTGGAAGAGCCGAGACCCATGTAGGTACTATCGGTACATGAAGCACATCTTTAAGGCAGTGAAGTAAGAACTGTACTGACAATTCTTGGAGTGGAGCCGTACTATAAGTTTTCTACGGCCCTGAGAAACAATTAAAACGCAGGCCAGTTTTAAGTTGGTACACTGACTTATGTCATTAATGAGAACTACTAAATCAAACAAGATACTGGGTCCCCACGAGTATGCATTTTCGAGAATCTACCGTACTTCTGAAATGAGCAGCATGTACTTGAGTTGCACCTGTCAAAAGTGTTTAATAGCACAACCAGGACACCACCAAAAGAAAGAGAAGACAATACACACTACCGTCCATGTAAAAATGGCATGAGGGATGGCTCGCGTTTCATTGAAAGACAAGTGGCTGTCAAACTGTTCTCAGCGCATCTGTTGTTTCATCCGTGTATGATAACTTGCCAAGAGAGAGTAGAGAACTTAGAAGCTTGTAAGATTAGGTGCAGAGTGTGCCAGTACACCATTTGTTAACTTATCTAGCAAATAGCCTGCTTGACTAAAAGTTGACTGCTAGTGCAAGGGTGGTGGCACTGCGAGGTGGTGCTGTGCTGTTGTATAAAAACTGTTCTGTTCAAGGAAAATAAACTTCTACAGGTGGCGGGCATTGTGTTTTTCTGTAGTCGTTGTCCTGTTTGTGAAACTCAACACTTTTGATTGTGAACCAACATGTCCAATTGCCAGTCATTTTGCATCAGGCAGCCTCAAAAATATCTCCCTACAAATAACATCCCAGTGGTACAGTGCGACATCAGTTCAAATTGCACGAAGGAAAGGGGGGGAGGGGTCATATATTGCTGTGAAATAATGTTTAAAAGAAACACCGTCGACTGAATGACCTGAGCCGTGCTCCTGAACAGTTTGTGCTTGCTCAGTTTTGGTGTGCACCTGCAGGTAGGGAAGGGTAAGCGAGCTGAAAAATTTCCTTTATTAGGTGTGGCACGTGGAAGGAAAAGTTACAGGGGGAGTGGGGGGATGAGACAAGGAGTGTGGAGGTATACCGAAGCAATACTTCAAGTTGGCCTAGTTGGAAAACATTCGTTTTATTGATTTTGCACAAAGACATGGGGACAAAGAGAAGGAACACATGAATATCTCTTTGTCACTGTGTTCTTGCACAGACTCTTTAAGATGATGGTGGAGTGGCAAGCAAATTGGAGTGCAGCCTATAAGGGAGCACAGCTTACAGCAAAGGAATAAGGAAATGAAAGAATAGGAGACAGAGGATATTTGGGCCAACATGCAAAGCAGGCATTCTCACGTTTGTGACCTCTGTTGGTTATAATGATAATTAACAGGCAATGAAGACAAGGAAGGTACGAGGATTTAATTTGTAGTCATCTACCTGTATTTTAGTAATATGAATGTGAACAAATTAAGCTGGACGAAAAGACAACTTGCCAGCAGCAAGGACCAAACCTGCACCTTGTGAATAACGTATCCGACACTATCAATTGAGTCAATTGAGCTGCAGCCGCAATGCTACTCCCGTCCACTTTACATGGCATTTCGTCAATGTAAACCTAAGAGTGTTAGCGCTAATTATAGCCATGAAAGCGAGTGTGAAACACTCTTCGTTCGCCTACTGATGTCACATGACATGTGGTCCTTTCACGAGCTGGCAGCTGACTATGAAGCCCTCCCGCACTAGCTAATAATAATTGTTGGGGTTTAACGTCCCAAAACAACCATATGATTATGAGAGACGCCGAAGTCAAGGGCTCCGAAATTTTCGAACACCTAGGGTTCTTTAACGTGCACCTAAACCTGGGCACACGACCCTCAAGCGTTTTCGCCTCCATTAAAAATTGCGACCGCGGCGGCCGGGATTCAATACCATGACCTGCGGGTCAGCAACCGAGTGCCTTATCCACTAGACCACCGTGGTGGGTTCCTTCGCATACTACGTGAAAACATCCTTCACTAAAATGTGGCTAAATAGACTGAGTAAAATGTGCAACCTCATAAGACTCCTATAATTACCAAGTTGCCCCCATAAGTAAATTGCTGTTTCAACTTACCTGCCAGACCACCCGTAGCTGCAGACACACCAAAGTAACCGTTCTGAGGCAGGAACACATTCTCGGCCCGGAAGCACATTTCGTAGTCACCGTCATTATTGGTGTTGCCGTTGTGGAACAATACCTAAAGGAAACCGCAAGCGAGCTAGGCTTAAGTCAGTGCCAGCCATCTGAATTGTACGGCAGTGAAAAAAAGCAAGCACTAAAATGAATACAGAAACCCCTGAAAATTTCATAACTTGCTTTAAAGGCCTTTTTATCAGACTCTTAAAAATTCATGGGGCCACAATATTCATACAGGAATAGATTACCAGTAAAGTTGCTATGCGCTACATATATTGTAGACTCTTGCTAAACAAAACCTGAAGGGACCAGGAAAGTGTGTTTCATAAAACATTAGTTCCTTACTGGGAGTCAAATGTATCATGACGTCGCTCATTATTTTGCATAAGTAACACTCATACGCACATATATACTTGCATATTTATTAATTTTGTCATCTCCAATTTCTCAGTGCTGTAACATGCCCATCCAAGTTTTAAATTATGCCGTCTACATCATAGTAACCACCGCAGTGGCACCACACAAGCCGTTCAGCGGTCAACACACACAACATGCATCTTATGTAGCAACTATTGCAGCCACACTGGCACATCAGGTGCTGGTGGTGCACCCTTAGCCCCCTCTGCATTACTGTCCATGTGCAGCGATTCCAATACAAATGCAAGGGATACGTCCGAGGGCTGGAGGCAAAGAGTGCTGCTGTAAAAACCTGTAGCACGACATATGCCAGAGAGCAAGAACCTTGACAGTGCAAGAACAATCATAACAGGGGCGGTGCCAGGGTGGAGCATGAAGGAGGGGGCTGGAGTCCCTCCCCCTAAATTATTCACCCCCCTTTTGCTCCTTCTCCCTCAAATAAAACCTAGTCCAAGTACAACACATAACTTCCCCGCCTCTGTGCCCTCCTGATGGAACTCGCTTGACAGTGCCCCCCCGTGAGAAAACCTGGCGCCGCCTCCGAATCATAAGAATTCTAAAGTTTGGTGGTGATGAATTTTTTTTTTTTACCATAGGCTGCTTAAAACTGCTAGGCCAATGAAGGGCACTGAGGTTGAACTCCTCAAAGAACCATACTCCAATTTATTGATTCCCTCAACTGGCATGCAAACATCAAGCATGCATTTGATGAATATTAAAAATGAAATACACTTCTATATATTAATGTAGCTCCAATGAGCCTTAACACATGCCTCACTTCCTTTCAGTACTTTCCCCAAAACGGTTCACAAGACGATGTTGAGAGGAGCATACCGTGAGGACATTCTGGTAGTACTCAATCTTGGCACGCACGGGGAAAGGCTTGTTGCGGAAGTCACGCTGGCATCCACCTAGCTGTTGGTTGATACCGTCACTGCAGGAATAGACAGATTTATTCACAAACGGCAGGTGATCAAAATGATTTCAGTATGTATAAAGTTGAAACTCTTTAACAATGAGGTGATGGGGATGAAATGACTTCATTAAATATAAATGTGTGTAAAGTCAAGAAAGGGATTTATATAGACAAAGTGAAATCTAAAATTCTAACGTAGAGACACCAAAAGACACTGCGCATTTCATTTTACACTAAACCACGCCACTTATGGATGAGTGGAAAACAAAATGCAATGATTGTGCGAGCAGGCCGAACAATAAACCTGTGAGGAGACTACCAGTGCCATCTGTTGCATAAACCTTGAAAAGAGAAAGCAGCCACCATAGGGTTCCTGAAGCAGCATTTACAACGACAATGAACCCCACCGCTTCTCTACAATCACTGTAGTCAATAAAAGCGAACACCGACTGTCGAGTCTTATTTCATGCACTGTGTGCGACATGCAGCCTGACCAAAATGAAACTAGGGTTATGACCAGGTCGACCTAAATGTTTCTCCATGATTAGTGCTAGAGTGAACTGCTTCATAGAATAGCCCACCTGTGTCAGTATTCAAAAGAAATCACCGCTTCACAGTTAAATTGAGTATACTGCCTAATTAGTCTTGTTAATTCAAACTAACAACACACATTTAAATGTGATAGTTGACTCTACACTACCGCTGTACATAGTTTTGTAGTAACTTATTCAGTGGTCAAAGAAGGAAGTTCAAAAAGTTACTGCTAACTTCTGCTTCAATGCCAGCAAAACCAAGATGCGGATGTGTATCTCCCAGTAATTTGACTGTGATCAGTGCTGTGGTGACTCGAATGCGTATGAACTCCAGCTTTGGTGCATCAAACTCTGTTTGCACAAGTGAACTCGGATCATGCCGTAGCGATGCATGCAACAAAAGCAATTTACTTTGTTGAGTACACCACAGCAATTCATGCCTGTCATCTGTTTCTATAATGCCATCTTTTTGGGAAACTACAGAATTTACCGGTGAGACCCGCCCCTTCCTGTTTACAGCGCTGTTATGGCTGTTAACACACAGCAGTAATTAATTGCCAGCATTCCATTGAGGTGCTGCTGCAAACGAGATGTTTCATGTGCACCACGACCTTGTAGGCTGCTCGCATGAATATAGACATACACACCAGAAAAAAAAAAATGTGCCATATGCAATGTGTGGTCTCTATGTAAGCTGGTCGTTATGTAAGCCTACAAGCCAAGCATACCTCACTGCGATGGCAGTGCACAATGATAGACAGTGACGAAAAGAAAATTGATGTTGAACAACCATGTTATTTTTCTAGGTTCCAGAAAGCCAGAAAGTGGACAATGCAATTATTAACTGGACAAAACTGCAATCCATTCACGTAACACGAAAAATATAAAGGTTATAAATAGCTTAATGACACATATAACAAAGTTATTGATCACCTTTCATGTTCGTAAGTCTTGGTGCCATCGTTGACCATGCCCATGATGTAAGGATTGTTGTGCTGCCAGAGAAAACAATGGCATTTGTCTTTCAGACCAAGCATGCAAATATCAGCCAAATAAGCTCAAATAAAGACGATGCCAAATTCAATTAATGTAATTCAATGTAATTTCAATTAAGCATGCAGCAATGCTAAAAAAAGCAGGACACCCCTAAATAAAGCTCCTGGTCTTTTCAGTGGAATCCAACGCGAACAAGTGAGAATAAGGGGTTGCTTATACAGCAGTTGGCCTTCCTGCCTTTTGAACAAAAAATGACAAATATGTACTGAGGTTACCAAGCTGAGCACCTCAGCCAGCAACTCTGAGCTCCATATTGAAATCTGTGCAATGGGATCCATTCTATTTTCTTCATTGCCACACTTACCCTTACTTATGAGCACTTTTCACTTTTCAATAGTAGCACTAAGATTTAGTCTGAGGCACACTTGGCAAGTTAGAGACAGCACTTACCATCAAATAAGAAAAAGAAATCCAAGATGCCCCAACACAGGAATCGGATGATATTTACTACCTGGGAAACATCCTAAATTATGTAAGTACTAATTCAGTTTCCTGTTATACTCGCTGTTAAAAATGACCTGAAACACTTTTTCAAATAACCATCGACTGAATTCACTAAGAGAGCTTATTGCCACACGAATTCAACACTGCAAAAATTTGAAGAATCCATCCAGTACGAGCAGAGTTACAAATATTTGTCGCACGCTGCATTCACATTTTTTTCTTCTCTCACCCGATGAAAGAGCCGGAAGCTAAGTAGGGAGGGATGGCATGGGCAAAGAAAATACATCATGTGTGCCTCATGACCTTGACCACTTTATTCTTTTTCCTAGAATTTGTGGCTGTTGTAGTGTGATCACATGTGTATGCACAAACTAGTTGTGGCCTTTCCCGGTGATCCCTGTAATGAACGAGCGCGCCATGTTCAAATCAGCCAATGGCCGATAGAAGGCCTTTTACGAGCGATTTTTGAGCTCCTTTTGTCAATTGGCTTGCTTGTTCTCGGGAGTCTCTACTATCAATCGGCAGCGTTTTCTGCCCATGTTCAAAAAGTGTTTTGGGTCCTTTAAATAAAAGCACAACGCTAGAGCCACATAGCAATGCAATGAACTAGGTTGACTACCAAACACAATTTCATGAAGGCAAGAGCTGCCTATTACATAGTAGTAATCTGCACCAACCTTTCCATCATTGTCGAAGGAGTCAAAGAAAAGGGCCAGACCGATCCACTTGTCACTGCTGCCGAAGACTGGACCCTCGGCTTGCCTCTGATTCGTGTACCAGAAAGCCTGTACAAAAAAAAAAGAAAGAAAGTGACCCTCACCTTACCATTTCTGACACAATAGGATTCCTGTAGGCTCATGAAACACACGTAAGCATACAAATGCACTGTTAAAAGAAAGTTTCATCTTGAGACCAATCTCAGTTTCCTTACTTGCATACAGCCAAGACTGCTCTTGTGAGGAACTGCTGGACCAATATGGAAAGCATCGTGGCTGAGAAACAAAGTTGAATTATAGTGACTGAGGAAGCAAACTCAATTCAAAGCCTCAAAATCCCACTCTGGGTGCAGGGGCTGCTGCTGACTGTTAATGTCTGCACAGCTTTCAACCACCCACTCATTGCAAGATTCAGATCGTTTGACGTCTGGCATGAAACTGTAGGAGGGTCTTTATCAAACTGCAGTTCTAAGCACAAGTTCTGTGGTAGAATACTTCAACAACGTTGCTTATTGGACAAATCTTTGAGGCCTTTGTGGTCTTAGCATGCAGGGTCATGACGCATGCGTTAGCATGACATCACTGTCGCTTCCATCAAAGAACTTTAGTTTCTGGTGCGACGTAGAGATGACTGCACATGGCTGACTTGTTAATCTTTTCTTAACACATTTTGTTTTCTGTTTGCTGTGCTTTTTCTCCTTTCCAAACCTGGATTTTTCGTTTTTCTGTGTTCCTTTTGTCTGTATATATGTGGGCTCCTTTGGAATAAATTTTAGTTGAAGGAATGCCTCCACCTTTGTCTTCTCGCTTGTCTTTTGTCTAGTGTTTGCAATAAATACCAGTGCGAGTAGAATACCTGACTGTCACGATGAATACCTGGGTTCAATTCTGGCTTGTAATCAGATTTTCATTCTTTGCATCTGCAAAACTCACTTAAGGACCTTACTAATTTTTTGCTCACAAGCAACATTATTACCCGTTGATGACACCAACACCGCATTTTTCGCAACACGGGCTCCTAGCACCACTGTGCTACTAATCATCAGAAGAAATGTGCTTTGACAACCAGACGATCTATGAACAAAAAGTGAATTCCACTACAGCACTCACCAGCCCATCAGCGCCCAAGCGACCCTGTCCAGTGACCCTGAACACTAGTTCCACCTCCCACCATGGGAAGGTCACTGGGTTCTTGTTCCAGATGGCTCCTACAAAACGATACACTCACTCAGAATGAAAAGGAATAAATAAATGTACTCATATGATAGCAAACTGCATGCTTTTAATTCCACTACAAAAACAAAAAACAAAAACTAGGTGGGTAATAAAACACAATGAAGCAAATGAACGGAAACACTGAAACAGGCCCACATACATGGGCTTTCCCTTAATAGCCATGAGCAAGGTAACCCAAATAAGGCACTTCTGCACTGTGTGCATGAGTGCAATTTTCAATAGACAAAAAATAAATGAATGTTGCTAAGAAAAGAAAATGACATTACCTTTCTTGCTTTTGAGGGACGGCGTAATTCGCACCATTTCTTCACTGGCGATGCAACCTGTGGGTAGACAAAAGCACAGAACCTGTAGTGTAGAAGCCCCAGCACGAGTTCCTGTACCAAAATACTACTGCTTCCCTTTTGGCAGGAAACTATGCTACTAACGTGGCAAGTGGGAAAGGTTTCTGAACAGTGACTTCACACTCTCGACAGGGCTACCTATCTTTTTTCTAAACTATTCCAAAATACTTGACACTGACAGTAGATGATGCCTCGTAGCAAAAGACTAATGAGGAAATAAGCGAAATCTTTTGAGCTTTGCTGTGCAATTTGGATGCAATGTACTGTTTTGGTACAGGTATAAAGCTTGAGGTATGAGCCCTATATCCAAGCACATTATATTTCCATGAATTTTTATAAAGCAACCTTCTATGAAGAGTTCCTTCAACAGTGTTCCATGCTTCAAATAGAACCCCTTTCATAATAAATAAGTTCTGGGGTTTCACATGCACATGCCAAAACCACAATATGCTTGTCAGACATGCCGTAGTGGGGCATGTCATTCTGTCCATTGGAGTTTTTTAACGTGCACCTAAGTATTTAAGTGACACGGTTGCCATCCCATTTCACCGCCATCAAAATTTGGCTACTGTGGCCAGAAACAGAATACGCGCCCATTTCCCCCAATGTAGGCCTGGTTCATTTTAGATTGTCAGTACAGTCAAAACTTAATATAAAAAAAATGATGACCTCGCTGAAACTATTTAGTTAAATCAGGAAGTATGTAAAATTGAGAAAGATTTTCGATCCATTGAAATCTAATATTGCATCTTAGGGACACCCCGAAGCAACACCTGTGCTTCATGTTCCACTTACAAGCACATGTGAAAAGTTAGTAAGGGCAGGCCGGGTACGCCAATGTCCAACCTCTCATGACCAGCCTATGTGAGGCCAGATACAGTCAAGCGCTTTGACAGGCTTGCAGAAGGCAAAAAGAGGGTGAACGAATGCAACAACTGTGCAAGAACGCCTACCAAGAGAGTTGCATGGAGACGATCAGTGCCATCTGTTGCATAACCCATAAAACGACTATCGCAACCACTGTGTTTCTGTCGGAGCATTTACAGGGACAACAAACCACCATCGCCACTAGTGCCATTTGGTATGTATCAGCGCTACTGACTCAAGTTCGCGATCCTGTGCATAAATGCGGCGTCCGGCCTCATCAGAATAAATCGAGGTTCGGGACTTGGGTGCAATAATTATAATGCAAATTGCAACAATTCAATGTAAATAATGAAGTGTTCTTTCCTCCGATGAAATGCAAGCCCACAAGCTTCAAATTATGCGATCGATGCTCTACCAATATGATGACAGGCACGTAGTTCGAACCTTGAGAGTTTGGATTTCATCGATTGGAGGGGTGCTTTCTCATCCACTCTGATTTTTTGTAATTTAGGTCATATTTATAAAACTAAAGTTACAGACAACAAACAATGTCCCATATGCTTCCCCTGGCTTTAAATTATCCGTTCGGCTCCCTTGGCTGTGCCTAACTACTGGACTAGTGATATCTGCCAGTCAGCGTGACTGACTTCATGGCTTGATGTCATTAAGACTGACAACAGCTGCGAGCTGGCAGGCCACAGTTGAAATGGGACCGCACATCTGTTCTGTTCCACATTTCTGAATAGCAGCACCGTAGCACAAAATACTACACGTTCCATCGATAGATAGCGTAGGCACGCCAATAGGAGTGCTAGAAGTGTGTGCATGTGGGGGGGGGGGGGGAGCAATGTCTATCTCATACTTTTACCCAGTCAGACCTGTCCCACAATTTTTTTAAAGGGCTATAGCTTTTGAGGATAATGGCGGCTTGAAACAATGTTGCATTTTGAGAATCGTTTACTTCTAACCTTTACACCCAAAAAGTCAGAGATCAAAGGCAGGCCACCATGTGAGAAGCATGTCATAACTTCATTTTTATTTTTTCATCCAGGTTCAAGCACAGTGTCTTTTGGACACGACCAACAGGTGTGGAGAAGGGAAGGACACTACCATGAGAATTCGCTCCCCTTAACCGAGAATCCTGCATGCACCTATGATAGGTAGAGTGGGTAATTTCAGAAGTGCATAGCACCTCCTAGAACACAAATGAAAGAAGGGAATTGGATATACGAGCCTGTTATTTGTTAGACACAACTGTATGAGGCAAACGTATAATGAAAGATGAAAGGAAGTATGGCAGCATTATTTGTAGCTTCAACTTGAAGTGTAGAAAGAATGTAATAAAGGAATAAGATAGAATAAAAAAAAAACCTCACCATCTGGGGGATTAAATTCAAAACTACACTGTAAAGTTAGCCTTGAAAACTTTTACCATGCTCCACAAAAGATAGCAGAATCTAAACTAGGGATGGATGGCAGTTCAAATGGCAGTTGAAAGAAAAGTTCGGAAACTATGCAAAGCACTGCAACGGAATGCCAGAATATTCACTTAACAGGACATATCATCGTCCTGACTACCTCCACTGCAGGACCAAAGGCCTCTACCATGTTCCGCCAGTCAATCGGTCCTGTGCTTGCAGCTGCCATTTTACACACGCAAACTTGTTAATTTCATCTGCCCACCTAACTTTCAGTCTCCCTCTAACCCGCTTGCCTTCTCTGGGAATCCAGTCAGTTACCCTTAATTATCAGCAGTTATCTTGCCTAAGCACTACATGCCCGGTCATGTCTATTTTCTTTTCTTGGTTTACACTATTATATCCTTAACCCCGGTTTGTTCCCTGATCCACTATGCTCTCTTCTTGTCTCTTAAGTTTACACCTATCATTTTCCTTTCTATCGCTCGCTGCATCTTCCTTAATTTAAGCTGAGCTCTCTTTGCAAGTCTCCATGTTTCTGCTCCATGGCTAAAAACCTGCAAGATGCAGCTGCTATATACCTTCCTCTTGAGAGATAGTGGCAATCTACCAGTCATGATTTTGAGAGTGCTTGCCAAATGTGCTCCACCCCATTCTTATTCTTCTAGTTACTTCAATCTGATGGTTCGGCTCAGCGGTTATTACCTGTTAAGTAGACGTATACACTGGACAGATACAATGAATGAATTATTCAGTATCCTTAAATTTCCAAGGTGGATGGCAGTATCAACTGGTGAGCAGTTGATGCAACTAAGATATGCTCGAATATTGGAGGGGAAAATGAAGGAATAACATATATTAAATATGATTACAGCGACAGATGACAGTGTATTATAAAAGCAGAAGCATGTATGAAGAAAAATCAGATAGGCAGGATGATACAGTGTAGTAGATGGCACAATACATGATTGCAATGAACTGGCTAGGTGGCTACTAGTTGCCACACAATTTGTTTCAATATATATCCTAATAATAATCATCATCAACTGCCAATGACAACAATTACACATTGAGAAATCAGGCTATTTTGTATTGCTCTCTTGTGGTGAATCTTGCAAGCTTACACTTGAGCAGCTCTTCACGAGCTTAGAAACAATGTGTTAAACACACTGACATGTCTCGACTGCGCTAGAAATATGACCACAGTGCGTGAACTCTTGCACAGGGATTCCTGAAGAGATTGTTATACACCACTGAAACTGTACACTGCGTGAAGGCAAATGCTGCACATCTCCATTCCCATTGTTTTAATAAAAAAAAAAAAAACCTGACAAGCAAGATCTTCCATAGAATTTATGTCTGAAAGCCTGTGATGTAACAGACGACTGCACGCTCTCCTTTGATGTTCAGTCGTAGGGCTGTCAGGTATGGTTCCCAGTATGGTTGAATGCTTGAGTAATCTACTACGAAATCGGCTACGGAATGCACGACGAGTAGTAGTCCAGTAATTTTAGGGCAACTACACAAGCATTTACGAGGTCGCGATCTGTGCACCACATTCGCATCTTTTATGGACCATCCAATTACCTGTCATATTTTAAAGCGGCGCTCGTTATCTTGCGCTGTGGTTCGGAGATGCGCTTATCGCAATGAAACGTGGCGTTTATGTGTACAGCGCACGCTCAGCCGCGGAAACCACGCGATAGAAACGTTTCGCGATTTATACGTTAGCGCCGATCCAATCCTCCTGGTTTTGAACTGTACGAGCCCTTCGGACCTTTGAACGTGCAAATGCACACGTAAAGTTGCCCGGTACTGAAAGGCTCGGCAACCATGCAGTATGTTACACCGGAGCATCGGGGTGGAACTTGACATACATTCAGATATTGGCTGCTAGAAAGCTTTCAAATGTCACAATATGCACGTGCCGACATACGAACCAGACGGCAGCAATTGTGACTGACCACAACGTGATTGACACACGCAGGAAAACAGGCAAAGCGTAAAGCCACGGTCAAGTGACTCGCCCACCCTCGCACGAGACCGAAAGCAGGCCGCGATAACCACAACTTTCCTGCTTGCACCGGTTCAATATGCCACTGCCCGTGAACCCGCCAGTAAAACGGGCTGCATCCATCTGGTACCAGGAAACACAACGTCCGAAAACCAGAGAGCACCCTCCCGTTCAACCCATCTTCATTTTCGCACGACACTCTGCAATGGTGTCGTGCTCCAGTTGCGTGCACTGCTAAAAGCCACGTGTACGCTAGCCGATTGGTATGCACGACCACCGATGGGAAGCCGGCGATACTCACTGCCGCTGTAGTCCCAAAAAGGCACGCTGCCATCCTTCTGCGCTAGGTAGGGTCCCTTGAAGCTGTACTTGTACTCAAACTTGCGGTGACCGATGTTGGCAGTGCACGAGCACAGCGCTAGTAGCGCTAAAACAACCAACCATAGGCAGCTTGAAGACGCTGCCATCCTGTGCTTTCGGCCGACCCGTCCGTCTCGCTGCCGCCGCCAGCAGGGCCGATTCACACGTTCCCACGTACGCGCTAGCTCCGCACCAAAGGTTACAGCACTTGTAAACATTTTAAAGTTGTACTGTCAATATTTAATAAATGTAAAAATGGTAAATATGTTAAATACGATTTTTGTCATTGTTACAATTCATTATTTTGTAGCACTTGAGCGCAGATATATGCGAGACTGCGATAGTTACTTCCCGGTTTCTGTTTTGTTCATGTGCTTGTTTTCAAAACTGCATTGACGTGTTTGTACAGTGTAGTGTTGGTACACGTGGTATAGTGGAAATAATGGTCGTGATGCCTCACCTACGAGTTAGCAGTGCGTGAAAATATTTTGAAACATGCAAGAGACGGAGCACCTCTCGAGCTGCGCACGATTTCTTTCAGAGTTCTCTTGGATCTACAACGCTCGCATGACAGACTTGCTGATCGCGGGCACACTGGACGCGATACCTGCTGAGGTAGCTCGCACTTCTTTGGTGACAGCGTGTGGATACTGGACGGATGTTTAATAAACTAAGCGTTTCGGTCGCATGCGGCCGATCGAAAGGGGTTGCGGGGAAACGCTATCGGAATGGAACCCGCTACCGTGCGCAAATTTTCTTACGAAAGCGTGTACTCATGCGTGGTATGTCATTACGAGAATGATATCGTTCTGCCACCACCAAAATAGTTACAGCGCCTATGAGCGCAGTCTTGTTCAAACTAGTGTTAGTTTGATTCAATGCAGCGTATAATTTACCCACATTTTCACGCAAAGGAAAGAAGAGAGAGAAAGCAGGTAATGGTACGTGACTTGACCAAGCGCAAGCATCTTTATGGCTGAATTCATGGCAATAATGTTAGCTTTGCGAAAGGTAAATATTTCCATTCCAGTCGTAGCAGTCATAACTGATTCATTATTAGTGCGCTCTTCTCTGTCCGTATCTGGTCGCTCACCCATACTGAAACGTTTTAAATCAATGGTTCCCTGTCATCTCCGAAGTATTCATTTAATATGGACACCAGGGCACAAAGGCTTGTTGTTAAACGAAATAGCTGATTCTCTTGCGAAGGCATCGCTTTCGACACCCATCATTCCTATTTTCCCTCATACAGTATACATTACGGTGGCGCGATTTCGCACACTTAAAATCAGGCAAAATTTATCAGACCCTGCACTGACGGCTTCTTTAGAGTACAACCACTTGTTATTTCTCTGGCGCAGTGAACTGTCTAATTCAAGGATGATGGAAGTTGTCATCACGAAATTTAGTTGTCGCGTTACCTCCCTCAATTTTTACTTGCATAGATCAGGTATATTGAATTCCCCTATGTGCATTTACTGTAACCAAGAGGAAACGATCAGTAATTTTTTATTACATTGTCGCCGTTTCGATTTATTCAGGCAAAGCATATTAGCACCACCTCTTCAAAGACTGGGCTTGCAATTATCACAACCTGATCTTCTTTCATTTGGAGCCTCTACACTGGGTTTCAGCCACAGGGATGTTTTATTCGCCGTTCAGGAATACATCACTGCGACTAAACAATTTTCTTGCTAAATTACGGTCTCACTACTTTTCTTAATTTTTTTCTGCAAACTTGATATCGGCATTTCAAATCAAAATTAAGTTACAAAGGTTTTGTAGGAATGACGCAATGCTGAAAGTATAGGGCAAATTCACCTTATAATCGGCCAATCCCCTCCTTTGGGTACGAGCAATTTGCACAGGTAAACAACAACAACAAGCATCACTCATGATGAGCATCGTAAAGAGAAATTGAAATGTTATTATAACAGATATCTGAGCTAGTTGGTAAGTATTTGTAAATTAAAGGGTTAGAGCTCTCATAACCAAATAAAGCAAGAATACCACGTCTGACAGTTGAGATGTGTGTTACTCACTTTCTCTTAAACTTTTGCACGCGAAGTGCATGCTTGAATCACAGTGTTAATGCAATACACCAAACGAAACTTCTTAGAGCACTAGAAGCCATACATTCAGTTGTAAAACTTAATCAGAAAATGTCAAATACTTGTCAACATTGACGAAATACACACACATTCTACATTAAAAAACATAACAGAACAAAAGGGGGGGGGGGCTAGCTTGGGCACTTTAGCGACTTCACAGTGCCACAATATAAATAGCAAACCGTTGTTACCAGGGCGGAAATAAATGCTGATATTCTGCATAGAAGTATGACTACATGCAGTGTGCCATATTCACATGCAAAAAAGAATAAAAGTGGAATATTGATTCCATCCAAAAACATAAACTTAAAAGGGCAATAGGCTACATTTTGACGGCAACAGAAACAAAGTTATTTGAAGCTTAATGTAAAACGTAAAGAATGAGAAAGGAAGTCGTACATAAAATGACAAAGCAGATTACTGAAAAATAAATACTAATAAACCACATAATGAATGTAAATAGAGAGATAGAATAAAAATTAAATATCAGGTAGGAAGAAAATAGGTCGGTGAAGGCTGAGGTAAATTACTTTTCAGTGTATGCATTGAATGAAAGTGCAACTCGAATGCGAAAAGTTGCCCCCATTACATACCCCCCTCCCCCCACACACAGATAATCCCTGTCAAATATTTTTTTCCTTAATCAGACAGAACCAACAGGAGAGGATAAACTAACCAGAGTATTTGACTCACTTTACAAGTCACAAAAAATAAACAATGCATGCTAGTTTGCTTATAGGTGTATCTACAGAGGCACGCTTCTTGATTTGTGCTTTATAGCTCACAAAGGTTCCGAGTTTTGCGGAATCGGACACAAAAGGCATTCACTTCAGCACAGAATTACAGTCAATATAAGATGCCTTGTGGTGCCCAGTAAGCTAATGTTGAAGACATATTGTCATCGTGAGGATATTATATATTCACTCAGGAGGTATCGCAGCTGTCCTGCTCAAGCTGTCAGGAGGTGTGGAAGTTTCAGAATGTTCTGTTGTGGTGTTGGACAGGCTATGTGGCACGTCACGTGCAGGATTTGTTTAATGCACGTACTGATGTGCTGCACTTTAAACAAAAGTGTAGTTAACAATATTGCTTTTCTAAATGTCATGTTTCTCAAGCTCTGCTGATAACCTGTACCTGGATAGAAAGACACAAGAAGTTATGTCATTTTAGTAGGTCGCCTGTTCACTGCTTAAAAATTATTTACACACTGTGAGTGCAGTCTGAGATGTAATGTTGATGGTTGTGAATGATATTATTGGCTCTAGTTGCTAGTCATCTTAACAAATGCACATTTGACTGTGCAGTGGGTGAATCACATAGACAAGCTGTCTGATGAAGAACTTGGAAAGGTGCCTTTTGGACTCATCAAGGTGAGCTTGCTCAATCAACAACTGCATCAATAACGTGAGTTTCGGTAGGGATAGGCAATAGATTTAACACACGTAAAAGCTACAGTCAAATAAGCGTTATTCTAAAGGTACAATAAAAATAAAAGTTGCATAGCAACTTTTCATAACTAATTGGATACCCATAAAAAATAAGCAAAAAAGAACTTACCTCTACAGGTATCATGAGCTGTAAATGTCATTCACCTGCATAACAATTCTGTATGTAGCTGACCACCTAGCACAAGAAAAATCTTGCACAAGAACATTCTAGTTTATATGTGTCTGCATTACGGTCCTCTTTGCAGAATGATTGGCCTCCCAGCCTTCGGTCTTTTGTGTCTCGTGCTGTAGAACTGGGAGAAGCTCGTTTTCTAGAGCCATCGACTGAGCTGGTTTCAAAGAAGACTGCACTACCTATTGCCTGGTGCCAGGGTCTCACACCCAAAAAGCAGTTGGAACTGGAGTGGGTTGCTGCACTGGTGGCAGACGTTTGCAATACAGCACAATGCAATAAGGTCATAGATGTTGGTGCTGGTGTGGTAAGAATTATAGAGTTTCTTAATCACTGTGTATCAAAGAGACCAAGTCACTGCTTGCAGATGCTTTCTTGAAAGGCAACAGAACACCTTGAAGAACACCGAAATCTATAATTTCTGGCTTCTTTTTTAAACATTGCTCGGAATGGCAATGACCTTGAAAGTGATTTATTTTTTTAACTTTTTATAATAAGCAGTCTCAGTTTCTTAATAGTACACATCCTGCACATACCATTCCTCATGCGTAACAGATGAAGAATATGGCAAAGCTTGCAATAAGCCGCACAGGGCTTAAAACAATGAAGCTGGACGATTCTGAAGTCTAAGCTGGCCTTCTGAGTTGTTTCTAGGCTTTAGGTAGGTGATAATAGGTTCTTTCTAACTACTTCTTGATTATTTCTAGGTCTTTTCTTCTCAGTGCAGAAAGGTTCGAGTTAGGAATACAGAAAGTCACAGGCACGACAAAAATGTCCAAACTCCAGAGACAAAAATTTGCACTAAACCCAGCGTTTGTGCCTCATATAGGTCTATGGGCACGTTGTTGTTTGCATAAGGCTACCATCACTTCAGGGTCTTCATGCAGCCGCCATTGCCATTCCCATTCCCTGGTATTCTCTCATTGTATGTGCCACTGAAGCACTCTGTGCACATGCTTCAGCCAAGCTGAAGTGTGCAGCCACGGTGTTTAATAACGGCTCAATCCCTATGGTTTATTGAATGTTTTGCAATTATTGGCTCCGTATATCAAAAACTCTAAATGTTGTTTGCCACCTCTCTGTTGCCTGTTTCATTTTTAGTGAACAAACAGGAAGTGTTGGGATTGGCCCCATTTCTGAGGAACATACCTGTTCGTGATGGTGATAGTATTTGTAAACATTTGTACACACATACTTGCGGCACACCTGAATAGCTTCCTTGTTAAAACTGAAATGTTTGACTAAAAAATAAATGTGAAGTGAGCACAGATATGCTTTTATTTTCACCTACAAATTTACAGTGTGGTTCACATTTGATATAACTGTACACCACTATACAAACATTCGGTACTGGTATGTTAAAATAGTCATATTTTATTCTCAAACTCAAGACACTCCAGCCGATAGGTACGCCAAACGTTTCAAGAAAGACTCTCAAATCTACT